TCATCCCTATAGCTACAAGCATACTCCAACCCTGCCACAAAAGCCGGTTGTTGCGGCTTTCGAGAAACAAAAAATATTATTTTACCCGTTACGTTATGAATTACATACACGCTACTTTGCTGGGATACCTCTCAAGAAGTACGTGGACACAATTTCCATGTTTACACTAACAGTACTGAAATAGTTTTCTGTTCCACTTGTGTCAATCAGTATGGAGGAGAGTGCATCCCCACCTAGGAGTGTCAGTTCTCTACAAAAATGATGCAGATGGGTGGATGGCTTCGTCATCAAGGTGAGGCCAGCTTGCAGCCCTTTCATTCTCGCCCACCAAGAAGTACGAGACGCCTACGCGTCCTTAAAACCGTTCTTCCCGCAAGAAGCGTCTGTTCTGCTGCGATGGTGGAGGACAACTCCCTGCTTGGCAAATTACGCCGCCGAGTCGCCAGAGGTAACTCCTGCGTTATCATACAAGGTCCACCGGTATTCCCACCATCCCTCTGGAATGTGCTTGCCCTCGCTGAGAACGGGTTTCCAAGAGGCAATAGCTCCCTTGAGGCACGGCATCCACGATGGGAGACAACGATTGGCGGACACCACGTAAGCGTCTTCGGAATCATGAAAAGGAAGCAAGCTACACGCGAAGACGACATCGAGGAAGCGATCAAAAGACACCCCCGCCGTCCACGTAGCAAGAATTCGCCAAAGGAGCGCGAAAATCGTTTGGCAGGCAGCTGCTCTGGGCAACCGGGACAATGTCAACATTCTAAGCTAAGCTATCTTCGAAGAACTGCACACAACCTATCCGTTTGAATTCTGAAATGCAGACAAGGGATCGCTCTGCTGTGCGACAAGATATAGCAAAATATGTTTTTCTTCTTTTTAAACTTGAATTCTACGAAGCAAAGCTATATTCGGGGATAACTTTTCATGGCTATTAACGAATAGGACGAAAGCGCGTGCACATCGGCGGGCGCAACCGCTCCCCTAAGTTTGATTACATTTCAAGAAAATTTATCCCCTGTTATGGCTAGGTCAAACAGCATTTCTATGTTTCGGCATTTTGATGTTCCGGTGTTTTGACATATCGGCTATCTGAATTTTCGGCATTTCGAATTTTCGGCGTTTTTAATTTTCGGTGTTTTTAATTTCGGCCATTCCGATAATTTGGCATTTTTATTTCCGGCGTTTTCAATGCCTCAATGTCTAAAATTCAGTGTTTTCGGATTAAAAAAAAAACCCGGTAAAACTTTGGTCAATTCGGATACATCCGATACACTCAGTTTTTAACTTTATATATATATATATATATATATATATATATATATATATATATATATATATATTAGTTTGATTAGCGCAGGGTCAATTCTCTTGTGAAAATGCCACGATAATTATCTTTCAAATCTCGGACTGTTGTCAAAAGGGGTCTTACTGCTTATATCGTCAAGGTTGATTCAGGGCAACAGATCATTGCACATGATCGGGTCCCGACAGAAGCCGCACTTTTGGTTTCCAGTTTGGGCCATGCGATTTGTGCTTTCGAGGAAAAAAAGATTGTTTTCGTATACTGAAAGCTCTGAATCATACAGATTGTATAAAATAGGGAAGAGGGGCGGTTGAAACTTCGCTATTACATCCTTAACCATCTCGCGCGGCCGCGGGCTAGATTGATGGAATAGAATGGGGAATGGCTACGGGATTCCACGTGATTACCTCCGGGAGTTTATTGACTCGAAGGTATCGACGTTTATCGAAGCAACACTTGTGTGCAACTTTTGTCGTGGGATAAATTAGAATTGCCAATAACAATGATACCAACTGCTGAAGATATTTTAATTGATACAAGCACGTTTTATTATTTTTTTTTATCTGACATACCCTTTTATCCGGTAATATTGATTTAGTAATTATTTTTTTTTAGTTGGAAACAATGCAAAATTAAACTTCGAATTTCGAATAATTTGGAATCAAACCGAATTAACTCAGAATCGTCGGCAAAAAATAAACTCCGTAACACACCCTCCGAATCTGACGAAAAATGAACTCCGAAAACACGGAACCCTTCATTTGTCACGCATACACCTACCAGAGAAAGAAACAAAATATGAAGATTGGATAGAAAGTGGAGATACGGCTTCCATAAAATAGCAGTGTGTAAATAGTTCCCAAAAATAATTGCAAAAAAACATCTACAGACCCCTTTTACTTAGTTTCCGCGAAAATATTTCAAGATAAGAGACTTATTTCGCGAAAACCCTTCGGGACAGGATGATAAGGACCTCCCAGTCTTCAAAAAACACAATTTCAAAAATGTGTTTTTATAGCATATTTTTGCCTCAACGAGCAGTGCCTCTCTTTAAATCAAACCTTTTCCACATAATAATCCCAGAGATCTGTCTTGTTTACCGTATTTAAATCAAGGAACCACGAACGAGGAAGATGCACATCTGGTTGAACACGAGCACAAAGCAGTGCTCTTCTGAGCAAATCAGAACGTTGAGCTTTCTTCCCCATTTACCTCGTTCGTCAGGAAGAGACGGAGATAGATTTTCCATGCGCCTGCTCGCTCATGCTGGTCAGGGTGCCTACACTAATGGCTTCAAGAGAAAAAACGGGTACGGCAGAAGCGTATCACAGGTGACGGAGATGTTGATATACATTAGGAAGACGAGCACGTTTTTTAGAAGCTGGAGAAACATCCCAGACGTTGCGAGGCTTGTGGAGGCCGAGCTATAGGGCGAGCGCATTTTGAGCGCCGGTAAAATATTTTTGAGGGCGGTGAAAATATCGCGGTGTTTGCGACGTGCCTGCAGCCACCCAGTCCTCTAAAACCCGAGCCGCGAAGAGTGACCATCAAACTTCTGTAGAACAGCGTGCACAGAGTATCTGTCGGAGGCTCGCAGCTCATTAAACACCGCCGTGGATTTAGCGCATTGCAACACGTGATCATCCTGCCGCTGTCCGCTGTCCCGCAACGCTCTCCGCAAGCAGTTACGCTAGCCGGAACTCCACAGTCAAGGCCATCGGCGCGCCGGCGCAGTAGCGGCTGCTTCGTTGCGGAGGGCTTAGCGGAGGGGGAAACGCGGTCTACGAAAACTCCCTAGTAATAGGGAGTTTTCGTAGACCGCGTTTCCCCCTCCGCTAAGCCCTCCGCAACGAAGCAGCCGCTACTGCGCCGGCGCGCCGATGGCCTTCACTGTGGATTTCCAGCTAGCGTAACTGACTGCGGAGAGCGTTGCGGGACAGCGGAAACGATCTACGAAAACTCCCTAATAGGCAGTTTTAGCGTAGCGTAACCGCAGCGTTGACGTGCCTCGATAGCTTGCGGCAAGGCTGTGCAAGACCTGTATAATAACGCCATCGGCGTGTTTATGGGGTTTTATTTATTGCTCTGTCAGAATAAAAACTCAACTATGCAGTATTCTACACCTGTGTACCGTTATTCGTGTCGACGCGACCCGCCTCGCCGAAATTGTCCGTTTTAAGCACACTTGACGATTGACCCACACACGCGCTTAAAAATGCTGCGACAAGCATTTCATTATTTGACTTCATAATTAACTAAAAGCAGGGACGAGTAGCCGGTCTTCTACAAGTGCTTGGAGCGAACTGTTTGTCAGGCCTTTCAGTGTAAAAATGCGAACCCATTCCCGATTTCCATCGCTGGATACACCGTTGGGCCCAGCAGTTCTATCCTACTTTCTCGAAAGAATATAGCCTTTGCGCAAATCGTGCGCGAGATCTTTGTACTCCACTTGCGGGAACTTCTGCCGTCACGTTGAGCACGGAGAGTGCGTACGCGATCTACGTAAAGTCCCGTGAAATTAGACATCCCGGTCCTTCCTGCAACGCTGTTGTGAAGCGGACCACGATTCCTATTTTAACGCACTCGGTTTTTCTGTGTACACTTGTTAAAACCCACCTCCCTAACGACCACGAGCCAACAGTACCAATAAATAAATATATAAGAATGAACTGAAATTAAGGGAAGATCTCTTAGCATATCTTAAGGGAGTGCTTTAGCATGACCCTTGGAAAACTCCACACGCGTTCCCCTTTCGGAAACGCGGTAACGACCACCCCTTCACCTTTCTGTTTTGTTCACAGACGGACGCCGTCAGCTTTTCCCTGCTATGTGGGTACTAATTGCTAACGGATTAATAAAAACTGCATGATGCACGTACAATTACGCCGACCAGTACAGCACCAAGGCCGACAGTTCCTGCCACTGTGTCAGTTTTCGTTTGTCCGCGAGGGGGCGAGCGGCGGCATGGAGTTGCGAATAGCAAATATGTGAGAACACAGAAGTACCACTAGAAAAGTAATATCATATCACAACAAAATCAGAACGGAAAAGGAAAAGCAAATAAAAACTGTTGACTAACCTAAAAATATTAAACTTGTTTTCTTTTTCTACTATGGCGGAGTTTGATCAATAAAACGTTAAACTACGTTTAATTTACAGCAGTTATTCCTCCCGTATCGTTTTTGGTGATCGGATCGGACAGATTCATCAATCTACCTGTCAGGTTCATAAATACATCGTGATTAAACAACTATTTTATGGCTAGTGATCTAAAAAACAATCATGACTTTTACCGTTTTTTTTTCTTTGTGTGTGTGCAAAGGAAAAACGAAATGAAAATTATAGTCATGATTAAGTTATGACCAACCGGTTTGCGTACCTTGATGAATCTATAGCCAGTGACAGGTTCAGAATTCAGTACATGTTCTGCCTGCAGCGCTAGCAATTACTGCCTTGAATAACACTTCGGCGCACGCGCAGGCAAAGTATGGAGGAGGATCAAGTGCTTACTGGAGGCGGAGCTTCCACCAAATTCTTAGCCTGTCCCCGGTTATAGTACATTTCGTCAGGATTTCTAACGTGCCAAAAAGGTGGGAATGGGACGCTTCGAGTGGTTCTCAAAACTGTGACGGTGGAGGTCGACTATGGAGCCGTATGTTTCAACCCAAAGGAAGGCTCAAGGATAAAACAAAACCAAGCTTTAAAAAAAGTACTTTATGTACAGATTGACATAAAATTACTAGTAAATACAGTCGTTTTTCTCTTCTCCCCAGTCGATAAAATTTCAGCTAGGATGGTGGCACCATTTGAATATGCTAACAATCGCCTATATTTAAAATGGTTTGCAAATTGCACCACCGCTTCTTTTTATACATTTGAAACATGTCGAAAATAATCCCTGGAGAAGGAGAACAAGACGGACAAAGGACAAACACAAATCTCCAAACACAGCTAGGTGACTGGAGCGCGACCGAAAAAATCCGCCTGGTCCGGGTATCGAACTCGGGACCTCTCCATAATAATAATGAAACATGGGATTCAATGATCACCTTGTTTTCTTGCGAAAAAAACAACAACAAAAAAACAGCATAAAGCCCACACACTGACACCATCCTCTGCTTCATCTCCCATTTTCGCAGGTATAGAGCAAAATTATGCAAGACACAAAAGCGCCTAAGAAAAATTGTTTCTGGTTGTGCCTTCCGCAACGCCGCATACCGTCTACTAGGCTAATTTTAAGACGAAAGGATAATATAGCTTTAGCCAAAATGCAAAGCAAGAAAACTGTTGCAGTCATCGTTGCGAGGTCGCAAAGCGCTTGAAATCCTTACAGTATTTTACACAGCCACCGCCTGCAAAAGGCACATGATGCATTGATCATTCAAAAGAAAACTCGACTCCACGATTCCCAGCTGCGGTACCTTAAAATAACAAAACAACGAGACAGTCCCAAAAGCATAACAACTTGCATCTTTCACACCCCAAACTACATGATCCGGATGAACAGCTTAGTAAATGCGGACGCAGAAAAGACAAAACTATAAAAGGACACAGCTGTACAAGAGAGCTTTGTCCTGTCGTGCTTGGGTTTTTCTTTTTCGTCTGCGTTTACTGAGCTGTTCATCCCCATCATCTACAACATTTACCAACTAGCCCAATTTACTATTTTAACACATTTCATGCCATCTTAGCTACGACAAGGATGTTGTTGTAATCTTAACCTTAAAATGCAGCAATGCCCCATTAAACCCAATGACTGCAGTCTTGAGCACTACATGTATCACACGGCAGATCAGAACAGTGAAGGAATCCCTGACCCGCACTGTGGAAGACTCGAAGACAGCGATGCAGCATGGAAGCACTATAGACAGCAAATAGGAAACGCGTCACTTCCCGCATCAGGGTGCGAGGCGTTCCATGTGCCAGCCAGGAGCTGCAGCTACTGTGGGTGGCACAGGTTTCTCTTCCTGCGGCACCTTGCGGAAGACGATGCGGTCGTGGAGTCGAGTCGAGTGACCCTGCCAAAACTCCATCCGCAAAGGGTGCAAGCAGAACCCACCCCTGTTGACAGAGCATGGAAGCATTTGTTTATTAGCGCAGTTTTTCGCAAAAAGGATGCACTTATATAACTTCCACGTTCCTTCTCGCTCTCAAGCAACTAACGAACCACACCAACAAAACAACGGTCACGGACCCTATCCAAACAAACAAAAACGGATGATTTCTCCACAATACACAGTCTGCTTAGTCCTATTTGGGTCCCTAAAACCCAAAACTAAAAAGAAAGAAAACAAAAAATCATGATAGCATCGGTCAGACACGGTCCGATGGTGTGCGGAAAGGGGTCACCCAGCTCTCAAACACCAGCTTCTTTTCGTAATTCCTTAAAAAAAAAGCACACACAAAAAAAGAAAAAAGAAATTAAACTACAGACAAATGTTTCCACTTGTTTGTGGCACAAAACACAAAAGCCGTTTCCAGCCTCCTCCTCCTCCTGTCCTTGTTCGAACATGTAACAATATCAACCACCTGCCTTGTTGCTGTATTGAACTAACTTCCCAAGTAGAACCTCATTGGTACATTCTGGGCTTATGTTTTCCCAGCTGTCAAGTTCATGAACACTGGTCCCATTAAAGTCCCACAGGAATATGGGCATCGATTTCCCGTTCCTTGCGTAAGCCTTCTCCTTTCATACGTAGAAAAGGTAACATCCGACGATGCTGAAGCGTCGCGTCGGCGCTTCCCTGTTTCACCGCCTTACTTCTCTGCATTGGACTCCTTCCCAGGGTGGGCGTGACCTCGAACTACCCAGGTGTAATTCATTCATTTGCCTTTTCAGGGGGCAGGGGAGAAGGGGTGCAAAAGGACACCAGTTATAATGAGTCTGGACGGCACCCTTGTCACAGAAGCGGGTCGATGTAAATGCCCGTTCGCATTGGCACGCGCGTCGAGATCCACCGCTTTGCACCGGCGCTCGCATCGAGCTTCACCGTTCTCCACCAGCATGTACGTCAAGCTTTACAGCACTGCACCGGCGCGCGTGTCAAGATTCACCGCACTGCAACGGTGCCCGCGCCAAGCTTCGCCGCTGTGCACCGGCATGGGTGGAGCAGCGACTGATGTGGGGTAGTGACTGTACTCCGTTTTAAGCTGAGGCTATGGTGGGAGCTACGTGCACTGCGGACCAATCAGCCGCCTCCCTCTTATCACATGACCAGGCTCTCCGCACGTGGGTATTGGCCGGGAGCCTGACGACGTGGCGAGAGGCGTATAACCAGTCCAATGAGGACGTAGCTTCCACTGCAGTCCCAGCTCGGGGGTGAACGAAGTATGGCTTGGAAAGGGAACACTTGGTCACTCGACGTTCTAGGTAATTTTAAACAGATTAAAGAATAGACTTCTTTTTAAATGAATGTCGCATTTTTCCAGGGCCATATAAGTCCACGTAAACAAATAGCTGTGCGAGTTTCTTCCCGTCTCATCTGTGGGCTTCCTAAAAAAGCGTAATCGGCATTTACATCTTCCCGGATTATGTTTGTTACTGTGGTTGCCATAAAATCATTACACAAAGTTCTATAAACTCAGAGGCTCTCTCTTATGACTTATATTGAAGTTGAGACGATGGCTACGTTTAGGTCGAAACTGACTCGGGCAATAATGAAGGCATAACTCCCTTGCAGTTTTGCTTTCCTGCGGCACATACATGCAAAAAAAGGGCATTCTCCACGGAGAGAAAATGCATGCATGGATACGCATAACTGGAATAGCCGGATCCCTATTTTATAGCCCAAATTCAGAAGTAAAGCTTTGCTTATTACAGGAAAAAATAAGCTAAAAAATATTGTCGCATTGTTAAGACTGCAGTGTGGGCAAGTTGGTTATTAAAAACCTCCAAAAAGAAAAAAAGGTTCTTTTTTTAAATTGTTAATTTTTAGAGTAACGTCGACGGCGCGAGACGCGATTTAGTCTGTAGTCACCTCCTTTCCACTTGTTTACTCTTTTCAGCATTTCGGGTGCGTGGAAAGGTGGATCGACCTGGCCATCATGTTGAGGTGGAGAGAGTGTATGACCATCTCGTTGGGGTGGAAAGGGTGCATGACCACTCTGTGATGTCATCGACCTTTGCACGCAGAATTTAAACTAAATTTCAAGCTGTCAATATTGCTCTAAATTATTTTTAATGCGAAAGCATTAACTGTCCCATGGAGCGAGCCAACGTCATCAGTTTGAAGTGAGAAAACGGCACGTAGTCTCCCTGGTCCCAAAGGTCCCATTGGCTGGCGCGCAGCGATGAGGCTCCCACTGGCCGCTGCGCGCGTCAGTTTCAACGACCGCTGCCTGATGGCGCTGCATGTCCGTGCCGCCAGCGCACCGATAAAACTAACCACTGCAACTCCATGCCACTACGGGCCCCGCGCCGGTTAAAACGGACACGGCGCATGCTCGGAGGCTTCTGCTCGCCTCGCCGCCGACCAGCATGCCGTCGCCTCCATTGCCCACATCGTCGGACATTCATGCTTTCGCATTCACAACTCATAGGAAGTGCTTAGGTGTCCTTCCGACTTTTTTTTTTTTTCGCGTAAAATTAATTTTTTGGTTTGCATATCTTAACCGGACTGTTAAAAAAATTTCCTTGTTCTTTTCCCTTTTTAGGGGTCCTTTAATACTCCGACGTTACTGCATGCAGAAGGCAATTACACAGGCACACAAGAAGTTTGCATGATGCCAGCAATCCTTTCTGCAATCCCCCGCCGATTATAAAATTAGTCTTGACTTGATGGGGAAGGGATCTACTCAGGAAGTTGTGTTCAGATTATTTACCTGCAAGTGTCTAAAAAAAGCCCACAAGAGGCAAAACCTTCCAAATATGACAATTTTGATAAAAAGGTATAAACCTTTGGGATCAGAAAAATGCAGTACTCACTCCCAAACTGTCCGAAATCTCCCGATACAAGCAAGGTTGTAAATACCCTATACAAGCAAGGGTCCAAATGTGCAAGTATTTGGACAATTTATAAATATAGAAAGCAATGATGATAATACAATTTATGCCAAGGTACAAGCGACCTGGACAAGAATAACAACGATAATCCCTGGAGAAGGGGAACAAGGGGGCAAAGGACAAACACAAATCTCCAAACACAGCTAGGTGACTGGTGCGCGACTGAAAAAATCTGCCTGGTCCTGGTATTGACCCAGGGACTTCTTCCTTTCCAGTTAAGCCCTCTGCCAACTGAGCTAATCAGGAGTTAGAAATCAGTAGGCAAACGGGTTTTAACAGCTGCCACCAGCTTAACACCAACAAGGGTGAATGGCCTGAATTTTAAGGTTGTGATGATAATGCAATTAATGCAAATGTGGAAGCGAGCTGGACAAGAATGACGATAATAATCCCTGGAAAAGGGGAACAAGAGGGAGAAAGGACAAACAGAAATCTCCAAATACAGCTAGGTGACTGGTGCGACTGAAACAGGAAGGTCACGCCTCTGTACAGAGGTACGACTTTATCGCGTGATGCACATCCCGGGGAGCAAAGGAAGGATTCGCCTCCCGTGTGAATACCCCTTTAGGTTTATGGCTGCTGCGCTGAAGACAGGTACTCATTGTCGCCAAAGCCCTTTGCATCATCCTAGATTGAGGCTCCAAACGCGATCATGCCGACGTCGTCCGCTACGTCACGCCACGCTACACCGACAAGAGCCCAACTAAACGTGTTGAGCCCAGCGATGTCCAGCGTGCTCGGCTTTAATTTTTTTCCGCTTCTGCTGACCGGTACCGATGCAATCAGTTTGATCAAGGCAGAGACTCGGGGAAGGGGCTTGCTGCACCGTGATAGGTTTTAAAAAAAAAAGCACACAATGGGGTAACGAGTTAAAAGCATTTATTTTCTCCCGGATGTCATACAAATGTCAACGGATAAAGACCACAATATTGTGCGTGTCAAAGTCGTTCTGCACGAACCCGCCAGAGGGTTTTTGCTGGGACAAATTTACATGTAACATCTGTGGTTTTCAGCGGGAACAACAGCCAATGTGTACGACTAGCACGTGATCATACGTAGCTCGTACGTGAGGTCGTCCCAAATTCTAATTAACTCTACGTGTGATGTCGTCGTCTAGCCTCAAACTTTGCCGGCTTTTCGGGCAAGCGCACCCCTCTCAATAGGCCTACGAACCTTCTTGTTGTAGAGAGTCCGAAGCGCCATCCACCATGCATCGACTTGCAAAATCAAGCGCGCAGACATGTAAACCACCACAAGAAGCATGAGGGGACCAAATAGCCCGGTGAGAACAGCACACAACACCCGGCAAGAGCAGCAGATTAAAATCACAGAAATCAGCGACCCGCACGTGCCTCGACTGGTTCCGACAGAGCAGGTCGTGGTTCCGACGTCTTGATTAGGGCCATGGGTCGATCGCGCGAGGGCTAGTGAGCCTGGTGTGCCTGCACGTTGGTTCGCTGGTTCCGCCAGTAATTTGGCATCTTTTTCTTTATTTTTGTTCTTTGTCAGCCAATAAAACAGACTTTGTGAAAAAATCATGATACCTCGCGGAGTGATACACTTTATCTAGACTGCGTAAAAGAAATTCTGCCGGCTCTTGGTAACGCTGCCAATCACAAAGCCGTTCTCCTATTCACCACTGTGCCCCAGCTGCACATTTTAAACACACTGTGGTGCCACCAGACGTTTTGCTATTTTTGTCCAATCAAACTGAAATATGATGGGCTAATATTTCATGGCTACAACTTGTTCCCTAAATAGACTGACGCACTAATGAGATAACTTAAAAAGGACAGAAGCTCTAATTTCGTTGGAGGGCCCCTTTAAGATACCTATGCTAGGAATTTCTAGAGGAAAGGTTTTACAATACATTTACATTACAAGTACGGCACGAGGAAAGGTTTTACAATACATTTACATTACAAGTACGGCACCAAAAACTCCAGGATTTGAGAAACTCTGCGTGCCGCGATTGACAGCAGACGCTGCCGCGTTGTGGAGAGGCATGTTGAAGGAGATTCACCTTCACTCAGTATGCTGTACAATGTTTGCCATGGGTTCTTTGCTTTTAGCGGAATTGATGTAGGAGATATGTGTGCAAGATGTTGCATGTGTTAGAGAAGAACACACAGCGTGCTTTTGTTTTACGGGTGAAACGCTCTTTCAGACTGAGGGTGCCCATGACTGCGCCTAGGGTGGAAGAAGCGGATGTACGCGAGCTGTTCTGTAGAGGTACAGAGAGCACACGAGAAAGGAACCTCGGCAGCGGCAGTGGAAAGGCGAAAGGACGTGTATGCACAGCGCGACCACGTGGGTTTTGCATTCATACACAAGCATTTTTTGATGGGAGGAGCACTAACAGCTACCGCTATGCATTCAAGCAATAGAAACACTTAGCCTATAAAAGCAGATAAAAATACCAAGAATGCATAGGTTAACAAAAGATAAAGCTTCTTCAGAACAAGCTTTCCTCGAAAGACTGCAGAAAGGTTTGCATAGTGTTGCTGCATTTATATTCTTCAATCTTTGCGGCTAAAAGGTCTAAGTGGAATACTCACCACTCTACAGGCCTGGGAACCTCTCTGAAGACATCACTGTGCTTTTCTCGCAGGGCTGCATATTCCTCTTCAAGTTGCTGCAAAGAACCAGCAACAATTCACATTGGAAACGTAAACAGAGCAAGGGACGGTATGCCCTTGACCTAGCAAAAAAGCGGGAATGAAGAAGACAGTGCACCAGGAGCAGCAGAGAACAAAAGACTGAAAAGACGTGACCTGCATCTGCGTCCATTCGTTTACAGTTTTTTTTTTTTGGTCACTGTCAACTTGTTTTTCACCTTCATTTCAAAAGTGAATAAAGTTGCAAAACAGTAGAGAGCGATTTCTGGCTTCCTGGAAATTGGATGTGTGGTTCCCGGTTTCTGCTTTTTACAAAACACAGTGCGATGAATCGGCATTTGTTTGTAGTATCTGCGCGAAACGGGTGTCACGTAAGCACATGAAAATGTGATTTTTTATAAATAAATAGACAGTGACATGAAGTTTGGAATGACAAGCTTTGCTGGCTGGTGTTTACAATAGTAGTACACACCTTAGTTTCCACACAAAATACTGAATGACTATGCACAAAAATTAAGAACACGAAAGAGGTACTTCAGTTTTTGGAGCTGGCTTCTCTTTCTGCCGACTAACAGACCGTTCTATTAATATAAAAATGGGTCAAACGCTTTATGAAAAAATCCCACGCGTGTTTACATTCCCACAGAGTAGGTAAAGAGCCGATCGTTCTAAAGAATAAAAGACAATTCTAAAAAGCAATCTATGACACGATCCTGAGTTTAGCAGAGTTGTGCTCGGAGTCACAAGTCTATTTGCTCTTTTGAGTAGAAAGTTATCTCTGTAGTTTGCACTACTGTGTTCAGTATAACCTGAAACAGCCTTTCATGCTTCTTTAATATACCTGCCAGTTTTTGAGAAAGCCGTGGCACAAACCAGGAATAAAATGCGGAGTTGAGGGCCCATACTTCGGAGTCTGACAAACTGAGAAATAATGAAGCTTGTGAGAATCAGAGATGTAGAAAAAAGTCAAATTGGGTGTTTCAGCTCTTTTGCCTGCAGAACCATCTTCTGCGAGGCTCATCAAGGTCTCCCAGCAGAGTAAATCTACCTTCGAGGAAGCGCAAAAATACCGAGTATCGTAAAATCCCGGAAAGGCACTTACCCAAAAGAAAAGATAAATGGTGAAAAACATGAGGGGGGCGCTATCTTTGGGAGTAGGACAAGCAAACCTTTATAAAAAAATTAATGACAAACCCAGGGGCACCAAGTTCAAAGCACGTGAAACGGGAACTGGTGCTGCAGACTGCAGACATGGCAAATTCGCGTTTCACAATGTGATAAACACGCGAGGATTCGCTACAAACTCCTGTGTCGCGGGAAAGGATCCAGCGAACTTCGGATGCAACATACTCATGCTTCACGGTGCAATAAACATGCGGAAACCAGCTACAAACTAGTCTGCCACGAGAACCGATATTTTGTGCAAAGATCGCAGACAAAAACGCAAGAACCCGCTGCAAACTCACTTGTCGCACGCATCGGCACTGCAGATTGTGCGGTTGATGTGATTTTCTTAGGACATTGCGGTGTTGCCTGGCAGGAATCGGAGGGTGGGCGAGGTTTCGGAATTTTTATGTTACGGATACTTATCCATAGAAACAAGATGGGCAATCTCTTCGGGATTTTACGATATACATTTCACTGAATGCTAGTAAACACTGGAAGTCCCAATCACAAGCCCACTCCAAACAAACAGGCAGGTACTGACAGCTCTAGACTCAATCACGTGACTCTGGCGGCTGACGACGGCCGACAGCTGGCTGTCCCGGGGCCGGCTGTGGAAGTACTTGTCCGACACGTCCACAGACGTCCTTTCCACCGTGCCTTCGACCCTCACCTGACAGGAAAAAACAAAAGTGGGAACAAATTAGTTCAATAGACTAGCTTGCTCTGGAACTTGAACCTAAAGTGTAGAAATGGAAAATGGCGTTTAAATTCCTTCAGAGCGACACCAGGGAACAGAGATCTTGTATAAATTTCTAGTTACGTCTCGGCCATTAGCAGTAGAATAGCCACGAATTCGTTCCATAAAGAAATTTTTAATACAAATGCAAAAATTTAAGTGTCTTTCGTTTAGATTGTTTTAATTTAGGATGTGAGATGGCTGAAGCATATGGTGCCAAATGTTCAAAACTTAACTGGAAGATATTTTGAGACATTAAAATGTCCGGAGGGGAGAAAAGAGGAGGTGCTCAGGCCTTGCATACTGGACACCGAGGCTAAATTTCTGGGTAGCACAAAACCAAAGACATTAATGAAATTGTGCATGGGCATGCCTGGTACACATGACATCTGGTACAATGATAATATTAAGACAAGAACAATAACAGAATATAATCTATCAATGTGAAATGAGGAAATAAATGCTACACAGGCAGAAAACTGACAAAGCTGCCTAGACCACAAACACCTCAGAGCTTGAATATCCCTTATAACATATAACCGTAGGCTTAGGAAGACCTATATGCAGGTGGAAGGCCCACCTGTCGATGGTGCCTGTCCCAGTAGAAGAGGAGGCTCGCATTTGGGTTCTCCTCCTGCAAACCAACAAATTGAAGGATAAGAAACAAAGAGAGAAAACAGCTAACCATAAAAATTATGAAGAAACTAGTAAAGTGAAGAATTGCCAACCAGTTCCCTGCCCTTGCGACTGTTGTAGTTTGTGAAGAAGACAAAGCCATCCGGACCGTATCCCTTGAGGAGAACCATCCGCGATGATGGAAACCCTGTCCTACATGAGAGACGGCCACACATCAACAATTGAAGCGCTACTATTGAAGCATCCTATACAATTCTTCCGGTGCTTAAAGTATTAAAAAAAAAAAAATTGGCCCACATTGCGATTCCCACATGGTAAGCTAAGGCTCAACAGCTCAATTTCCTAGATAAAAGGTACATTTTATGCCTTTTGCAAGCAGCGACAGCAGCTGCGAGTGGAGCGACGGTGCACATTTTGGAAAGACTGTAGCGGCAAAATGAACTGGAAATTGCTACTTTCAAAATGTGCTTTGTCATCTGTGTCGGTTTTGATCACTTGCAAGAGATGCACAGTACACTTTGACCGGGTCCATATCACAAGAGCGAATGACATTTTAGCGAACGGCGACATTTTAGCGAATGGTCGTTTTAGCGAATAACGGGGGTGCGCGTTAACCCATCCGTCGCGCTGCGCTTTACGCCGCTTCGCAATGACAGTCTGCGGCAACTCATTACAAAAATGTGAACTCACTTGGCCCACCCGAAAACGCCGCTTAGCGGCGTCCGACTCTTCGCTAAAGTGTTGTTCGATGAAACGTGGGCGTTCGCTAAAACGTCATTCGATCAAGTGAGTGCCTCCCACTTTGACTAAAGTACCCCGTTCACCCGTAGTCGTTAACAAGAAGGTCTCAACGCGGAAATCTTGCACACAGAAGGAAATAAATGCCGAGTGTTCAAGGGAGAAATGGCATTTCATATAAGCAACACAATTTATAAAAAAAAAATGCACCTCAAATTGATCAATTGGAGTGGTTTTGAAACGGTGTGTGCCAGTGCACCTTCAACAGTGTATAAACCTTTTTCATAATGCCACCTCCCGTACTAAAAATGCATGAGAGATGGCATGGAAGACATCTCAGCCATTTAGCTTCTTAGGCGGTAAAACATTGACTTTTAAACACAAAAATGTCCCAAACACAATGAACGTACACAAACTATTTTTCTTATAAATATTATTAAGATAGAAAAAAAGTGGCCCTCTCACTTGGTTGTTGTGGAGAGGGCAACAGCATTGCTTTCGTACATGAGCCCACCTTCTTTGACTTCCAAGAACCACTTCTCGAAGAGCTCAACGGGATTCAATGTGGGCAGGTCTTTTTCCAACAGCGTCCCAGAGACATAGGGCTTCCGCATATCTGCAAATGCGACACCAAACCTGCAGCACAACCTTTCAATTCGACAAACAGGAGATTTCTCGTGTCCACTGACACAGGAGCGTTTGACTGCGTTTACGTTGCTAGGGTTTCACTCGGGTTACGACCGCCAGTCATCCGGACATCCGTGCTTCGTACGAAGCGTAACAATTAAGCAATTAAAAAAACGGAGCCCCCTGTGTCTGCTCGAATCACAATGTAAACGTAGCCTAACGTTGCTGTGTGAATGGCCATTTAACGTTTCAAGCCGGCAGTTTCAGTGCAAACACAGCTTTTTTTAAAGGAAGCTAGCGTAGCGCGAACTGGCGCATGTATGGCCAAAAGAGAACGCGAATTTACTGCACACGAAAACTATTTAGAAGAGAAGAAAAAAAGAAAGCGTTGGTGAACCATAAGATTAGCTGGTCAGCTAATTTCCCCAGCCACCGAACGAGTGATTTTACTGATTTGACCACGATTTTACCCACCGGCGAGCTGAACGGAAGCCATCTTCGAGATGCTAGATAAAAACCTTGCCGGTCTTTTGTTTAGTGTCTTCAAGGCGTGGGTGAAAGGGGTGAAGCAAAAGAGCATAATAAACATAAAACAGAAAGCTAGATAATCGGCGACCAGCCAAGAGAGTCGAGACTACTACCTCCCGCTATCTCCCGAGCAGCGACTTTAGGACTTTAGTGCTTTAGTCTTTAGTTTTGATTTGAAATCGGCAGTAGCCAGCGTCCTCATATCAAACAAAAGTGCGCCAAACTGAACGCTATGTTAAAATTATATTTTTAATTGTGCAGTTTTAAATACGTTACTTTTAATATTTTAGAAGCAAGGTGTTCCAAATGTGTGTAAGCTTTATAAGATAAAATGAAAGCTCGAGCGCCGTAAATAGTGCGTCCTGCAAGTGGCGCCGTTTTCGACATCTTGCAAAACGTAGAAAATGAATGGTAAGATCAAATCATATAACATGCGGCGTGCTTTTCCCGTCCGTAGGAGCAGCAAGCATGATCTCTGCGGGGCCTTCGTCGGCACCTTATTCACCCAGGAATGATGGCACACTTTCGGGCATCTTGAGGGCTCTTTACAATGACCCGTTCAAGTGGCAGGTGGTAAAGAGTTGGTCCATGTTCGCCTTCGGAGTCTACTTGGCCCGGGAATTTGCTGGAGCCGATCTTCTGGCCGCTCCACCCCCGATGTAACAGAATTTAGGGACCTTGTAAGTAATTAATCAGTACCGCGCTAATTTCTAATAATCACGGAAAAAATGAAAGTAGGAGAAGGTGATTCGGATACCTGATTGTGTCCCCACGTTTTTTGCAGAACACAATCACGAAGACGTCGCATCAGCAGAGATCTCGTATGAACTTTGAAGACGTTTCGACTGAGGTTATGGGCACGGGGCCACGGTTTAGTCCTGCTGTTTATGTGGCTATGTGGCTATGTCCAGTGCCGGCTAGAACATCTTGAATTTGCACGCAATAAAAATCAACAACTCTGTGGTTTTGTCTTACCATCAAGTGTGAAAGGTTCGCTACTGCGCAATATACACCTAAAAAGTGCCAAGGTTAGAAACAAACTACGCAAGTGAAGATATATCTACCGTGCAAAAAATTTGAATCGTCTAGTCAACGGCGTGGTACCGACCCCTTCGGCATGCCAAAAGAAAGCGATATATGAAAATGAAAACTAAAGGAAAAAAAAAAATAAAGAAATGCCGGATATCGCGTCAGTCAAATGTAGTCACGTGATATCGACGCATGGCGTCTGGCGTCGGCTTTAGATTAGGACGGTTTTGTCGAAAGAACATATTTCGTTGAACGTTATTGCGAAAGTACGACTCTACAAGACGGGTCACTGTGCCACAGTGGGTGAGTACTCGTGCAAAACTACATTTGGCGCCCGCCACCTTACTTTGACGGCCTGTCAACCCGTCGCGAATTCCGCTTGTTCGCAAAAGTGTTTGTGGATAATCTAGGCTTAGCTCGTTTTTCCTTCCAACCACTGTCAGCGCGTGGCTGCAGCGATGCCAGGCGTCGGAAAGCGCTTTAAAGGCCAGTTTGGAACAACCGTGACGCTTCTGAACGCTTTTCTACGAGGCATTCGACTCGTTTCATAACAAAGGGCCGTTCTGAACGTGCTCGCTACGGCGCTGGTGCTCGGTAGACGTTTTCAAAACGAAGAAAAGAAAGAAAACAAGACAAGCCACAGCTTGTAAACGTCTGCCCTGTTTATTGACCTCACACCAATACGTTGTAGTGACGGACGTTAGGAAGTGACTTCTCGTCGAACTCCCTCTTGCAATTACTTAGTACCCGAGGCAACCTCCTCTTTTTAATCGCCCGTCTAACGGTCGTCAGCGCCCGCCATGGAAAAAATGTCAACAGCACGGAAGGCAGCTGTCAATCAAACTTCAAGTATGCGGGTAAACGGGCATATCGCGTCACTTCGTTCAGTCGTCGGTATGAGCCGGTTCTCCCACGCCAGTTACTTCGAAAGCATTTATTTCTTGAATGACGAGGTACTGAGCAAGTATCCTTCATGAGCAAACAAAAATATAAACTTCTCAAGAGAAAAAAGAAAAAAGCAGCGAGAGCGCGGTGTTTTTTAAAATGGTAAAACTAGCGGCGTCCAGCATTTTGCTTCAACTGTTTTCCCCGCTAGTTTCTTCTCGATGCGCGTGCTAAGTGTGATTCGCTGTGATGGTTATATATTATGGAACAATATCCCGTAAAGTTTCCAAAGCATCCTATGACCAGTTCAACAATGCCTGCAACGTATGTTTCCTTTTGTAGTGTCACAATTGAGTGTTTGACAAGGGGTTTCAACTGGTTTCCAGACGATGAATTGATGACGCCAAGATGCAGGGAGCTGGGCGAAAAAAATTGGTGGAACTGAATCCCCATTTGACGTGCGTTCTGTGTGGTGGCTACTTCATCGATGCCACTACCATCATTGAGTGTCTCCACTCGTGTAAGTCAGACTTGTTCTATGTTTTATGCTCGCATGCTGAAAATGATGTTGCAAGGGAATTTCACTGTTGGGCAGTGTAATATGACCATTGTGTGGGCTTGTTTTCGGGGGCATTCATAGAACTGCAGTTTGCATCATTGTTACAAGAGCAACTGATGCTGTCAATATAGGTATTCTGTGTTGTCCGCTGGGGTCAAGAATTGCGCTCATTGATAGGTTCCTATGTTTCAGAAGTCGCACAAGTATCTTATATGTAAGCCATCTTTATGCCAGCTGAATTCAGTAGCCAAGAGAAGTGTACCGTCTCGGCTACTGGATTCACTAGAGAACACAATGGGCGTGTTACTTCCGTGCTCTGGAGCGCGAGAGTTTGGCGCTCCGTTCAATAACGGGACAGGAGCGCCGCCGAAGGGTGACACTTGAGTGCGCTCTTTGTGCACCAAGTATTTCCCGGAGCGCGAGTGTGACTTCTTCGCACTCCGTGACATCACATCCACAAATCGGATGGCTGTGCTGTTGTCAGGACCGGCGAGATGCAGGGCACAGCCGGACCGCTGCCGCTTTTTAGTTGAATGGTGCTTAGTCCAGCTAGAAAAAACCAATTTGATTTGAAAACCACGACAGCAATTAGCGTTCCGGAAAAAGTTTGTTTGTGCATCTCGCCTGAGACGAAATTGACGTGCTATCTATTGAACGGTGGTGTGCCGGTATCGGCATAGCACATCGACGGGTTCCGTCTCGCGCTGCAAGACGGCACAGAACATCTGACAAGTTTGACAGCTTCCTGCGTCAATAAACAGGTTCAAGAATGTTGTCTTTCATTTAAATGTGAACAGCATGCATGATCAATAAATAGATCGGGTGAGGTAACTTTCTGCATATGTGCTCGAAGGAAATCTTTAAACCTTTCAGGAATATTAAAACATTCGTAGGAACTTCCTAACGTCACCGTCTTTTTTTACTTAACACTCTGCCACTCCACAAAGGCCGTCATTAATTTATGTTCGAAATAATTTTGGCTCTTGCCACCCATATTCACGAGATGCTGGGTCCGTCACAATCATGTGGTTAGAAGTGGCTCATTCAGCTCGTCGATAGTTTTGGTGTTTCACGCTCCTGTACGGTTTAGCTGCTCTGCTCGGAGTGTGAAACTTGGAGCGTCAAACTAGGAGTAAAGGAGCGCGGACTTAAAGAGTAAATGAACCAAAATTTGGATTTAAAAAAAAAAATGCAGGAGATGTAAGTGGGACGCTACAGTCCCTTCAAAACTACTCGTAAGGCGATATCTTGAATGGGCAGCCATATTTTTGGAAAAAGAGGTTGAGATTGAACCAGGCCGATGAGGCACGTGACGTAAAGATATCTAGTTACCTCCTCTCTTCGTTTCACCCCCTCAAGGCGGCGAGGCGGAGAAGAAGCGAGGCCGTTCCCTCTCCTTCTTCGAAAAACGAGACTTAATCGCATCTGTCAAATGCGCCTCTTTTGTTTTTGAAAATTACGGTCATCCGTTTGAGATGTTGCTGTATGAGTGATGTTTTGGTACTTGTAGCATCCCGTTGCACGCTTTTGCCGCTGTGTTTTGTGGAATCCAGATTTCGGTTCAGCATCCCTTTAACGCGCCCGCTCAGTCTGACTGTTGACATGGTTCTGTAGCCAAGCTGACTGCCCCTTACCCTTTGGGTTGAATCCACATTGAGACGTGTGTGGCTTACGATGTAGCACTTTGTGTTGTGCCTAGTGGTTCTTTGCTTTTTCTGTGTTTCCCTTTTTTTGTATCAACAGGGCACAAAACAGAAATTTGGTGACAAGCTGATAAGAAATAAATGGAAAGGGAAGTTTCCTGACATATGTTCCTATCTCTTTAGTGGTACAGTAAAAAGAAAGAAAGGTATAGCTAGGATATTTTTCCTGCAGTCACGTTTTTACATTGGCTGGCCATCGAATGAAGCTCTAATACTGTTTCACTGAACAGTATTTTAGAGTATGATGTTGCAAGTTTTAGCAAACGTTGCAAGTGTGAGAGAGGGTTTGAAGGTGAAGGGAGCTGGGCAGGCTTGGTGAGGTGTGAAACTGTACCGAGCACTTCTCTGCTTTTCTTAATTTGTGATCTTGTTATACTTTGTCTCATCCTAGGATGGACTAAAGGTCAAAGCCACAGGCCGCCAGGTTCAGTCACATTGCACGTTAAACTATGACATGCATAATATTGATTAGGGGTGGACGAATAATGTTCTGAATCAGAGTGTTGCATCATTTCTGTAGCTTCGACACTGCAAAGAGCCTGTATGTTGTGGCTTTCTTTGCGATGTAAAGTTGGTGAGTCACTCGGTGCTAGTCTATTTAATTCAAAATATTGTTCGCCCATCCCCATTAGATGCGGGCACCAACACGTGCATTGAAGCGGAATACCACGCGATTTCTAAGTGGTTCATGATTGAAGCTGGTGGTCCGTAGCTTTTGCCTTTAGTTCATCATAGGGTGAGACGTAGTATAGAGGGTTTGTGTTACCTTTGCAATCACCTTGTTTAGCGAATGGCTCTTTCATCTGCGCCTTCCAGAAACTCACCCCAGTCTTAAACCAGGAGGGCTGGTATCAGTAGACCACTGGATGCCCGCTTATCTCGTAGATAACGGGCTCCTCTATCCCAGCACCACCAAGGGTAAACAGTCGACCATTTCAGTTGTCTCACTGGCCCTTCTTCAAGCTAATCCAAAAAGCTCAAACATGATCACAAGAAAAAAAAAGTTGAATGTCCCTCCATGCCTGGGGTTCCTTGCTCTGTAATGTTGTTTTGGTATAACGGTATGTGAACACTGTTTGCTAAAATAAACACCACTATTTGCCCAAACTCTATTTAGCCAAAAGTCATGGATTTGAGTAATTGTCTCAATGAATGATCTAGCCTGTAAGGTTTGTTTAATCTAAGTGCCTACTAGATTAGACTAATAGACGACCTCTTGCCCTCGGCTGTATGTTGCTTGACTCTTCCCGTACCGTGCCCATTGGCCATCGATCAGCTGTAATCAATAAATTTCACGCACCGCCAAAAATTCAAATTTGGCGTGCCAGAACACGTTGCTCCATCTCGTGAATAGCCGAAGAACTACAGCTTCGGTTTTGATTTCATTTTGCGCTTTCTCCCAAGTTGATGAGCTATCGGAAATAAAAAAAATTGTGCTCTTGAGGAGATGCACCTCCACATGAAACAGCATCTCTGAAGGACATGACGGCACAAAAACACTTGCCGACAGACCAAAAGGAAAAAGAAAAAGGACAGTACTAGCTAGAGCTCTAACTTGGAGAGAGATAGGGGTGCATATAGAAGCTCACTTGGCATATTTAGACTTTTTAAAAATCGTAGTATGGTTTGATTTAGCCAGAAATGTTTTGTTCTTAATTTTGCACATATCCCAAGTTCAGCATTTAAATTTGCTGAAATTTTTTTACACGTGAGTGGGAACCTTTTTTTCTTCTAAAGGTGAGCCTATTGACTACATTTTGATGTATCATAATTAGCCATATGTAGAGTAGTTCTTCGAGGGCAACTCTGCTTTATTTTTGTTTTTGAAAAAACAAAAAACAATGTGGTCCTCTTCAGTATCACCTAGGAAGACCACACATCAAATATTACGACCTAGTTATATCTGAATGTTTCTTAAATGGTCCGGCAAACTTTGCAACTCACAAAGTTGCCGAAATCGGCCGACTTGAGCAGGCGAATTGAGGCACAACCAACAGTGCAGTCAAGGCTACAGCGTGGGCGTAGCGTACATTGAGCTAATTGTCATCACCATTGCCCCATTGTGCTTGTTTTTACTTCTCCGGGCGAGTGCAACGAGTGAGGTCAGCAACGTTTCTTCCCGGCGCTCAGCGGTGTCCACGTGATTGGCATAATGCACCTGTGCAGTGCGCTTCTTGGAAGCTGTCCGGCCATCTCGCCATGGTCCCATCATTACCGCTGTCTCTCGCGTCACAACCGCGTCATCTGCTCACTGTTTGTGATTGTTGTCTCTCGGAGTTTCGTTCACACAACAGACACTACGTGCAGACTTATGCAACAGCTGTGAAGACGACATTGAATGTCGTAGACACCAAAACATGGTGAAGAGTGCAGTGTAGACGCCACTTGCGTTTGGCTCACGCCACCCCAATCCCGCCCGTCGTTGTGTAGAGAATCGCATGACATCTCGTACCACGTGATAATGTTCTTGGAGGCCCGAGGCCAATGTTGCCAGACGGAACCTAAGTTTCAGTTTTGATTTCTGCTCGTGTTTAAAATTGAATTTTACAATATATATCTAATTTTTTGCGACACAAATGACGTGTCTTTTATTAGTGCTTTTTGATGCAGAATCACTTATTATTCCAGAATCTCTAAAATTGAGTGGAGTTGCCCTTTAAGATAAATATTTTGTCCATCCCTCAAAAATCGCTGCTTTTCCCTGTGGTACGGAAATAGTTAACGAGCATAGTCTGTGAGTGAAGACAACATTCTTCTGGCGTACTAATATCAGCAGTAGTAGTTTTATCTGCCGAGTCCTTTTATGCAATGTGCAGGAAAAACAAGGGTACACTGCAGAACATTTTTAATGCAAACTCGACATTGACACTTTTCTGTATTTTGCTGAGTCTTGATCGGCACCAAACTTTAGAGCTTAACCTACTGCATTGAATGAGGTCTTTCTTTCACACAACCGTAAAATACCGCAGAAGCGCCCACTTTGTTCAAGCGCCCACCATTAACATTTCCCAAACTTGGGAATTCTGCAAAACGTACATCAAGCGCCTGATTTGACCGGACAAGTGCCCATGTCTAGATTAACCCAGTTTTCAGTGAAAGTTGGGTGGGCACTCTTCCGGTATTTTACGGTAGTTGTTTTTATGGCAGCAGCTCAATTTTAGAAGAAAAACAGAAAAAAAGTGGCTATCACTTGATTGTGCTGAGAGTGTTGCACCGTGTGCATTTGACAGAACGTTCGAGAAAATACTCGCCCCAGCTAAATGGCAACCATTCCCCAACTCATCTCATCCCTTGATATCGCTGCACATTGTTTGATGTTTTAGATGAGGGTGAACACAACGGAAGTATCGCCCTCACAAAAAGTGCTTCCATTTTGCATGCGAATGCAAAGCTGAAGTGACCATATTCCTCAGGCCCCAAAATTGGACGTTATTTCATATACACCATGCAGATTTCCAGTGATATAAGCGCTGTGCCCATTGCACCAAACTGTGCCATGTTGCAAGCCTGCAGCATGCATGCTAAAATACCATTTTAGCAAAGAAATGTGCCACCCAAAATAACCTTAAAGGAGCAATGCAACAATTTTTGTACTTTGTGCAAATACCGCTTCAAACGGATCCCCAACGTTAATGACCTGTGAAACACGCGTTCGTTTTTCACCCCACGGAATAGAAGTCCCAGAAACAAATTAAAGAAAAACGAGCAGCGTTCACCCCCTCAACTCGCGGCCAGAACAAGCGGCCACGTGACCTGGAGCCGATTATATGCCGCCAATGTTGATCATAGCCACGCGCTGGGGTTGGCAAAGCACAAGACACGCGCTGAGTTCCAGACATTGTTATGGCTCGGCTATTGTCGTCGTTGCAGCGATTGGCGGCGGGCGACTACCCGAGTGCTTCTCGAGCTAGTAATTATCACGAGCAAAAATCGAGTGCCCACGCAGGGCTCGGGTCCAATCTATGAACCGCATTCAAATATCGTCACTTGGGTGTTCTGCGATCCCCACGTTACGTCATCAAATTTTGCAAAGGAGAGATTGAACGAAAATAATTGCTTTTGTCCTTGAAATTTCACCCCAACAAAGGAGTTTCTTGGCCAGTGGCGTTGCGTGCGAGTATCCTTGAGTCCCACTAGTGCCAGTAAGCTCATGTATAGTGAAAACCATTCCAACTGAATATCGTTGCACAGCTCCTTTAAAAAAAATAATATGTTTTTTGTAAAGGAACGTGCGGCACGGCTGTAACCTTGAATGGAAATACTTCACTTTGGCTTAGTCTAAAAGTAAACCGATTGGTCAACTCAAGCCAGTAGCATGTGCGGATGTTGAGGACGTTTCCGAAAAACTTACGCCCCGCAGCTCGTGTCTAGCTTCACCGCTTTGCACCGGAGCATGCGGGTCAAGCTTCACCACTTTGCATCAGCATGCCAGGAGGAGCGGCTGATGCGGGAGAGTATTTGCATTATCTCTATGGTCTCGAAAATTATGCTTACTAGTAGTATGGGTTGGGCAGCAGTTAACAAAATAAAAAAAATAATAATAATAATAATACCTACATTCTAATGTGATTATCAACCATGGGTCGTTTGACAAGTCACTGCACTGAACTCTGGCTCCATTTAGCTCCAGTGCTGCTAATATGCTGCAGAGCAATGTGAGATGGTGGTTTCAAAGCATATGCAAGTTTATGCACTTTTTGTGGGTGGTGGTTCTTGGAGTGGTCCTATAAACCAGTGGAATACATTTTTATCAATCTGCGTTTAACGGAATATACAAGTTTTTGCTAAAATTTTATGGGAGTTATGTTGGATTGAGAGGGGCAGATGTGTCACCTGAACTGAAATGTTGCTTTTGACCCTTGCGAAAACTTTTTTTATCCATCTGAAGAGCGGATATTTCAACCATTTTTTTTTTCTCTTAATACCTAAGCCTTTTCTGTAAATTAAGTATCCTCATTGCAAAAAATAATATGTTTTGATATAAAAATATGAACCTTCAGTCATCATCAAAGATGTGCTTTCTATGAGCTTTAGTATTTCATTTTCAAGTGACGTGCAACACGCATGTTGGCACTTGCTCCAAAAGCATGGGGTGCTGCTCCAAACCAACATTTTGCTTATTACAAGACCTGCTAGAAAGGCCAAATGCCACTTACATCACTGCATTTCTTTTCCTTGTAGTTTGCACACTGTTTGACATACACGTGTAATACATTTGGCCAGAATATTCCTTTTGTATTAATGTCTTCATTTTTCTAGATACTGCATCCATAATGCTGTTTATGTGTCTTGTGCAAATTAACCTTCAGCATCACTTTAAGTGTGGTCTCTTGTAGCTGTGTCTTCTCTGACGTCCATAGCTTGTCCATTGACCAGAGAAAGCACTTTCTCTACCGATGCATCCTTTTCTTTAACCACGTCTTTTATATATTTGGGGGAGCCGAAGCGGGACTAAACACCGTCCCACAAGCACGCCGGTTGGGAGAGTGAGATCACGGCTGCAAAATGTGGCCTTGGTCCCGCTGTCCCCCTAGGGGTTCTAGTTTACGCGGCGGGACCGGTACATTGCCACCTGCTGTGATTGGTCAGCGGTGCGGACCAGGCCAATCACAGCAAGCGGTGGTGTGCATTTATCTATCTCGCAATGTCTCGCAGCCTTCTGGATGTTTTTTTGTGTTTGTTTTCTGTTTAGGTTTAGAAGATTGAGTTATTTGCAGTCTCACTTTGTGTATGGGAACTTAAAAGGGCGTCAGCTTCAGTATAGGAAGAGGAATTGTGCACAGATGTATGAAGGCTCGACTCTATGGAGTGAAGATGTGCCCCGAATAACCAGCAAACTTTTTTTGGCAGCATCTTTGCTTTCTGTGGAGTGCAACCAGGGGCACATTCATGGGTCAGGCTCGGGGCGTGGGCAGTGCAAACTTGACTGGGAGGGAGCGGGGCAGGGCTTGCAGGGAGACCTGACGTCGCAGACGTATGGGACTTCCATCTGTCATTTTGCCATTTCACCATGAACTAAACATATCTTCCTAAAAAAAAAAAGAAGTGTTCGTGCATGTTGTTTCTTTTATAAAAAAAACAAGAGATAGCACCTAAAGGGGAAGAACGGGTTTCCCTTCCCCCTTTAAAGTCGCCCTTGAGTGCAACAGCCATTGTTGTGGCTGTTGCACTCAAGGGCAAGCGAAATTGGTCGCTTTTCCTCGGCCGATTTCCTTTATGGAGCTTTTACTCCACTCCACAGTGCCACAAGTAATGAACGTCGCTTCTCAGTCTGCAGGACGTGCATAGTGCGGTACCTGTGGGTGCACAAGATGTGTCCCGTGTGCGACGTCCAGGTGCACAAGACCAGGCCCCTGCTCAACATTCGGTGGGTGCCTTTCTGCTTCCGAAGACTTCATTGATGAAGGGAGTTGTTTGGGGCCACACCTTCTAGGGGTGTCGTCCAGAACATTTTGCAACATGATTGGTACTGGGATTAAAAGGGATTGTGTGTTGGTTTTGAGATATTCTTTTAATATGTGCATTTTGAGGTGTGCCATGAGAGCATATTGATACTTTCAACTAAAACTAATCAAACTAATACTAATCAGTCAAAATTTAAAGTAAGATGGGTTTCTTTTTGTTTGTTTATGAGCCAGAGGCTACAGATTCTCCAGCTATTACACTCACAAAATGTGTTTATTTACATTGAATCAAAAGTGTGCATCTAATTTTTTCAACTAACATCTAACAAAAAAAAGTTAAAGGCCTGGCAAAACGTGACTATGAAGACCTTAAAGCCATTTTGGCCCAGATTGGTGGCCTTATCGGTGAGCCGATAGCGCCGCCGATGTTGAAGTGTTTCATTGTGTGCCAACCATACCTCGGCAAACCTCACTCATGAGGGCCCTCACTCACCCTCACTCACCCTCATCTTCAGAGATGAGGTGAGGGTGAGTGAGTTTCTGAACCAGGAAAATTCATGAGTGTGAGGGTGAGTGAGGGCCGTGAGGGCGGTGAGGGTCATGAGTGCGTGGGGGCGGTGAGTGGCGTGAGGGCCATGAGTGCGTGAGTGGTGTGAGGGCGGTTAGTGCGTGAGGGGTGTGAGGGCCACGAGTGCGTGAGGGCAGTGAGTGGCATGAGAGGCGTGAGGGCGGTGAGTGCATGAGGTGTGTGAGGGCCGTGAGGGCGGTGAGTGCGTGAGGCCCCCTTCAGATCGAGCATCTTTCTCAGCAATTTTGGTGTTAATGGCGGGTTGTTCTCTAGCTTTCCCTAGATTGACACGAATTGCTGAGATCGGGTCCGGCTCGAAATAAGCAAGCAACTCGGAGCAATTCGAATACGTTTGAAGCGGCTGCATCCAATCAGGGACGCAAAATTTTCACGTGATACCTCGTGCCAGTGATGATGACACCGAATGACTTGGTTCTGGTTTGAAATCGATCGTTTTTTTTTAAAATAAACTGTTGCAGAAAGGTGCATTAGTATTCTTAACGAGGTTTAAATGCATAAAAACACGTTTATAACGCGTAATTCTGTCTAAACAGTGCAAGAAAAATAAAATTTTATGATCACGATGGCAAATTGCAGCAATTGGTTGCTGCGTGTGATCGCGGGCGGCCCGTGTTGCTGGTGTTGCGACGTAAAGTTTCTGGGCGAAATTGCCCCATCTGAAGCTGGCCTGAGTGGCGTGAGGGCCATGAGTGCGTGAGGGGTGTGAGGGCCGCATGGGCGGTGAGTGGCGTGAGGACGGTGAGTGGCGTGAGGGCCGTGAGGGCCGTGAGTGGCGTGAGGGCCTTGAGGGCGGTGAGTGGCGTGAGGGCTATGAGTGCGTGAGGGCCGTGAGGGCGGTGAGGGCCGTGAGGGTGGTGAGTGGCGTGAGGGCCGTGAGTGTCGTGAGGGCCATGAGTCAGTGAGGAGCATGAGGGCCAAGAGGGCCGTGAGGGCGGTGAGTGAGGGCCGTGAGGTTCAGTGAGGGTGAGTGAAGGGCTGAAGGTGAGTGTGACTGTGAGGATGAGGGTGAGTGAGCGGCTGAAGGTGAGTGTAGCTGTGAGGGTGAGTGAGGGGCTTAGGTGAGTGTGGCTGTGAGGGTGAGGGTGAGTGAGGGCGACCTGAAATGTCGACCTCTGGTGCCAACACGTATTGCGGGGAAAGTAACATCATCATCCAGTTTGTATCCTGCCGTAAACGCGATGTTGTATTTATGAAGGCAAGAAAAAAAAAAGTCTTATCACATCCGCTGATCTTGGCTTGTCACCGGCTGTACCAGTCTTTGTGAATGAGCCTTTATGCCCAGCGCTCAAACGTTTGCTTGGGCAAGCTATCGGCAAAAAGCATGAACTTTACTGGAAATTTGTGTGGGTTACAAATGGAAAGATCTTCGCCAAAAAGACTGACAGTGCCCCAAGCATTCAAAATGTGACTGACAATGACCTTGCCAAACTTTGCTAGGAACTGATGTAAGCTGGGTACTATCACACTACATGGCTAGGCGGTATCACGACTTTATTTTGCCATCAGATGTAATAGAATGTTTAGAAACTAAAAACAGTCTAGCAGCCTTTCATCTCAATGCGCGCTCTCTCATTTCATTTCATTTCACCATTCTAAAAAAATACCCGAAAACATGTATAACAGGTTTTGTTCTTCACTGAAACATGGTATCATGAGATGTATGTTTTTAAAGGGTATAACAATTTTATTTAAAATCGGGATGAGAAACGCGGGAGAGGTGTTTCTATTTATGTTCGGCAAGACATCCGCTGTGGAATTCTGGAAACGTACGCTGAAATGACTAAAGACTTTGAAATATTAACAGTGAGAAGTAACAATCTAATTTTCTCGGTAGTATATAGGCCGTTGTCAGCGTGTTTCGATAGGTTTGGTTTGTTTTTGGATAGATATCTCGGCTTTATATTGGTATATAAGTTAACCCTTCTTCTAAGAGATTTCGATGTAAATACATTGCAACACTTGACTCTTTCGTCACAATTGAATAACATTATAAGCTCAAAGGCTTTCATGAATGTTATCCAATCTCCCACTAGAATAATAATTTCCTCCTCAAGCGCCCTCGATCTTTCTATTACAAATGTGCCTTACTGCTGTGCGAAGGGCTGCAAAGACCTTCGCTGGATGCTGGCACTGGGCGCCGTTTTTGAGGGCGCTGTTTATGCTCCGTTCCCTTTTAAGCAAAGAATGCAGCCAACGCCACATGCGCGGGAGCTCGAGGCCGCTGCTATGAAGCGTTCTTCCTCAGAACAATGCACGTCAGGAGCGCGTGCTAGCCCGCACTCCTGGCTGACAGTGTTTGTATGCACGTTGCAAATGAACTGGAAGCTCGCTATCAGCTGGCGCTCAGCAGTCGCGCACACAGCTGTGGCCGCCGGTGAATGCGACATAGGCCATGTTCCAAAATTTACTCGATCGTACTCCAGGGTAAGGGTCTTGTACCTTGGCGTTCTAATACCTACCCGCGTCCAGTGTTTTTCAATCTGCGCTGTCTCGTGATATGATCCGCCAAAGTAACTCGGATTCATTTTGTAAGATTGGGAACACAGCCTTAGTTGTGACACGGCCCCTACTCTCGTCAAGCTTCAAACTGTTTGCCGCTTGGGGCGGGTTGCGGATCTACCAACGAAACGTCATGCGCAGGCCTTGTCTTCTAGGTGGTATTGGCCCACTAGTTTGGTAAAAATGCTATCATCATCACACAGGGGTACAACATCGGTTTTGCTCGTAAATAGAAAAATTCATTTTGTAACAAAAATATTGGGCAAAAAAATGTTTTTTTTTTTTTTTTTCAGTTATGTTTTTTTTTTTTTTTTTTTTAGTCTTGCCTGTTTTATTTAGGTAGAAAAAGAAAAAATCTTTTTCTAGGTTTAATGTTTCTTTTAGTCAATCCATACATAAGGCTAAGAGTCAAAACACATTCGAGGCTTTTCGAAAAAGCAAAGACGAGGTGTGGCCATGAGCATATGATTCAGAGTCGTGTGCGTGCAGTTTTGTTTCTCGGCAACACAAACCTGTTGGAAGTTGGCGGAAGATTGTCTGCTCTTTTTATTATATGTGTGTTGAACAAATCTGCTTTTTCTGTGGTGGGACTAGCGTTTCTTGAAAGAAATCAAATTGGGTGGCCTATTTTTCTGGACAATCTTCGTACACTTGTTGCACACAACGTTGCTGTGGGCTTTTGGTTTTGCAGTTTTGCCTTATGGCATTCCCTTTTTTTTCTCACTTCTTTATGCTGTTGCAGGTCGGACCAAACCCTGCAGGACATTGTCTACAAGCTGGTGCCAGGACTGTTCAAAAGTAAGTTTATCAATGCCATTTTTTCTCCCAACGTTAGTCATTAATGGCAAAGCTGGAAAAGGGTGGTGAATCTTTGTGCTGCTTAAAGGGTGTCCAAACAGGACACTACAAAACCCGCGACTCCGGCAAATCGTGCCGCGCTCTGCCGCGATCCGCTTCCGGCCGTCGGAGGGAAATTTCTCTCCGTCAATTCTTCCCGGGGGGAAACTTCCCTCCGTTGAATCTCCTCCTCGCTTCCTCCACGGCGGCCTTGCTCTGCTCATCACGTGGGTCCGGAGAGCCACTCACACGCTCTGTTGGCTGTCAATCAATTGCTCAAGGCCTCCGCTCACAATACGGAACCGCATCGGACGCCATCACGACGAAAGCGAATCTCGACAAAGAAAGCAGATCCGAGGCGGGCGAAACGCACCCTTCGACGCAGGAATGTCCCAAATCCACCCAAAGCCGGACCTCCTTGGCCTTCGAGCCGAGGTGACGGCGGTACGCGAGGGCGTTGGCGAGGTGAGCCAGACGCAGGTGGCGTGTGACGTCAATCTGAAGAGGAGAGCAGTCGTGATCGTAAAAATTTTCACGACTCCTGCAAACATTTCCACGACTCCGACAGACCGTAAAAATAGAAGCGTCCGCTTCAATTTTCACGATTTGTCGGAGTCGCGGGTTTTGTAGTGTCCTGTTTGGACACCCCTTTAGAATGTCCATGTAGTGCCCAGGGATTATTTGCTTTTGTCATTCTGGCTTCGTTCTGGAGAACCCCTGTTCTAAAAGATTCGCTTGGCACCGAATGTGTGCTGCAACTGGGGAGATTGTGCCTATTTTAAAAGGTATTGTGGCCAAGGACCCTGAATGAATGAAAGCCAGTACTTTGCGATGCAAGAATTTTTAAAGATTGTTGGTGCATTGAATCATAGTTGTAAACTCTGGCTATGAACTAAAATATGTATGTAATGTCAAGGGTCACTAATTGTAGTAACTTGCAGGTGCTAACAAAACAAGTTGACTGAGCATAAAAAAGACAGTTTCATTTGGGTAGCCCTGTGAAGTTCTCTTTTTAATCGGGTCATTCCTGGAGCCAAGTTTCTGACTAAGACATACGATCCAAATGTGCAGACGACTAAACCCATAGTATACCATATTTTCCGGGCTATAGTCCGCGGACTATACATGTTTAAAAGTTGAAATTTCTGGCTGTGCGGACTATCTACGTGTGCGGACTATACAGGAATTATGTTTTTCAAGATCGTTTATTGTGACGAGACGTGACGAATTTTGTTGTATGTTAATGATGATTTATGCACATTATAGGCTTTATTGTGAGCTAAAAAGCAGACTTTTGTAAACGTGTGCCATCTATGAGAAGATTTTCGTGTCGACTAAGCACCAGGTGCGGACTATACACCGGGTGCGGACTATAGTCGGGAAAATACGGTACATGAAAAATTTAAATAGTTGAACTCCTCAAAAACAGATTGTCAGTGGTGGACAAAACTCAAGCTCTTGATTACTGTTCTAGTGCGCTGCCAGCTGAGCTATGCTGAGCTATCCTTTAGAAGTTTCTACACCGCTTTTATATGCAACACAGTGGTGGGTAACCAGTCGATGCTGAGCGGAAGGAAGATGCTTCAGTGCGGTGTACTATGCACCACTGATGAGTTGTATGCCTATTCATCTGCATAATTCGGATGATGAATCGCTTGACATAAGTATGGATCAAGCTGAAAGTTATTATTTATTCACAATTAGTCACGTGCAAATAGTGGATTTTGAGTTTGATGTGAATTCAAAGTGAATTGTGGCTTTGGTTGAATAATTTCACATTGAATATTGAATAGTTTCTCCGAGCCTTTTACTAGTGTTGCACCATGCTTAAACGAAAACCCAGCTGAACTTGTGAACTGTTACCTCAGAAAGTTTGATGTAAACGATAGATTTGACGTAAAATTAAACCTATAAAGATGCCCAGCTGTGCCTAAATGAGTATAGTATTTACCAATCTCGCTATATAAAAAAATCCTGTTTTTAATCTTGAATTCGAAAAAAGAAAAAAAATCACGAATGATGAATGCAGGTTGTCAGCGAATCTCTGCTTGACAACCTAGCATAACAGCCACTCGACAGGGTATTTATGCTCGCCAAGGTTTTGATCTGTACACGACATATGAGAGCCCAGCTACCAAGAACACAATTTGTGGCTCGAAATTCGTTTTCTTTCCGCCCGAAAACCGCCGATCGAGAACTGGCCGGTTCGAGTTGCACTCACTCTTCTTTGTGGTCACATGCTGTTTTCTGTGGTTTAGACATAACCACCAAAGATATTCAAAGTTGTGGGTCATCGAAGGCACACACTCAATACTGGAAATGGACAAAAAATATGATACCCATTTTTTTGTGGCTTCTAAAAACCTGCACAGCCACGTGACTTCCGGTATCTTTCTCCTCTGTATTTCTTCTTCCTCCCCAGTTCGGTTTCGAGCAGTCTCATTTTTTTACTTTAATAAAAAATATGCGACACTGTGGTAAGATATTTATTGGGTAGTCTTCCGACACCATTGTAGAGCGCCCGGCAAAAAATTAAAAAAACATTTTTGGGGGGTGTCAATGTTTTCTTAAAGAGCCTCAAAAAGAAAAAAAAAATGTTTTGATGTGAAAGCATTAACTGTCCCATGGAGCAAACTGATGTCATCAGCTGCCGCACCAAATGGCAAATAAACTCCCCTCTCCCAATAGAGTGAAGTGAAGCCGCGATGTCAATGACCAAGCTTTGAAGCCATGTAGAAAGCCGAGCCAAACGGCAAATAAATTCCGCACTCCAAGTGAAGCCGAAATCTGATGGCTGGCGCGCTTCATAGTTTCAAGGAACATGGCTCCCATAGGCTGAGGCACGTCAGTTTCAAGGAGAGCCACCCCATGGCGCTACGTGCCCGCACCACAGCGCACTGGGAAAAGGAAGCATGTGACAGAGGGAGCCCGCTCGAGCACACTCCAAAGCATGGCGCGGCCACTTCACGAGAATGTGTGCAAAAACGACATTCATGCTTTTGCATTCACAGCTCGTAAGAAGTGCTTAGGTGTACTTCGAGCCTTTTTTTTTTTTATACAGTCTGGTGGGGACACCCAAGTTAAAATATTAATTTTATGTGAAAAAAAATTTTTTAGAGCAATCTTGATGGCGCGACACACGATTTAGTTTGTGGTCACCTCCTTTCCACTAGTTTCCTCTCGGCATTTTGGGCGTGTGGAGGAGAGGTGGACCGGCTTTGGCATCAGGCAGAGGTGGAAAAAGCGAATGACCATCTCGTTGAGGCCGAAAGAGTGAATGACCATTCCATGACATCGGGGACTTTGTGCGCAGGACTTCAAATAAATCTCTCGCCGTCAATATTGCTCTAAAATTATATTTTTTTTCCCGTAAAATTGATTTTTGGATTTTTGTCTCCCAATCAGACTGTTTAAAAAAAAAAAAAAATTACTTTTCAGGGGCCTTTTAAAGGGACTTCAATCGTCAAAATCCTTATTAAAACATTAAAAAATATATTCTCATTTTTGTATGCGAAGCTGGGTGCCCCAAGACTGAGTATGCACCTGCTAAGCAAGCTCGTGCAGCAGCTAATTCCCGTTTGTTGTGCAGCATCCCGGAGCTTTATTTCTCTGGTTATAATAAGCTCTCTTTATCTCGGTCCATTGAAAAACTTGTCACAAGTAACTGCCATATTCACAACGCCGCACCCCGAAGCTGCGCCGGCCGAATGAATGCACCCCACTTATCAGCTGCTCCTCACTTTCCCACATTGTGCAAGCTGTTGAAAGGAGAAGCGCACCTCCAAGCGCGTGTATGGTGAAGCGCGTGCATGGCCGCAATTGTGATAAACAGAACTCTGGCTTTATTATAGCTACTTTACCGTGAAAATTTACAAAAGTAGGACAGTTGTTATTATAAAAGCCTGTGTTATATGCTGCATGTCATCAGTTGTCCTGTGTATTGAAAAAAATCAAAATTTTTTTACGGATCCCAGACGCAACGAATTTCGGATATAACAAACACATTTCCGATTCGCTTTGACTTCGTTATATAACCAGGTTCGACTGTATCAACATTCACTCTATAAATAAAGGGAAGAACATAAAAGACAAGGACGGACAAGACTTTTCCCAACTGGCAGCGTACTAGCATGCTCAAACAAGAATCGCCAAAGGAGACTAAATATGTGCAAAGATGGGTGCTGAATATGTTGGTTGACCGGAACTTTGCCCTGCGAAAATGGCGACAGCGGGAGACGGCCAGGGGAGGGTCGTACACATGTGCAGAAGCTTACTGGAAAAAGGTCCATGACAATATTCATACTTTTCGAAGTCTTGATGGTGGTGGGTTACCCCATCGGGTGCTCTTCTCACTGAGCACTGGCGCAATGTGGAGAAGCAACACCCACGGAGCCGCTTTTGCAGGTGTTACTTCTTTGCAGTGCACCCGTGCTTGGAAAGGAGAACGCTCAACGGGGCTAACCTGCACCGATCAAAACTTCTATAAATACAAATATCGCAGCTCATCCAGCAGCGAATATAAAATAGTGTATTATTTTAAACTATTATTCTAAATTTCCAATATTTGCACAACACTATTCATATTTAAAATTGGGTGTTTGTAATCTCTTGAACTTCCTTACCCTAATGATTCACATTTAGTTCTGTGCAAGCTCTTCATGAATCGCTTCTGAAATTACTGCAGCTCGGAAATTTCTTAACGCTTCCATTACTTGTGACAGATGAGATGCGCAGGAGAAGAGAGTTCTACTCTAGGTTGCCTGAATCTGGTGAGTGTTGCTCTTTTTTTTTGTATTTAGCTTTGCTACTGTTCTTCTGTGCATTAACTAAATCTTCTACAGAATGGCACAAAAAAAAAAAAGGTTTCTTTTTAACTCTGCGACTAATGCCTACACATTTGCAAAGATGATGTGCGGTGAGCAGGCATGTGCAGAATGCATGCAAAGACATCTATTGTATATTGGTTCGTTGAACCTTTAGGCCGTTTACGTGTGCAGTGTGTGCTTGTTTTGGAGTCGAGTTTTCTGCAGTTGTACTTTCAAACGATAATGCACGAAGGAGACTATGTCACGGTTGAAGATGTGCTCTTAATCTAAGCTGCACCAACCTGGCTTAATGTCCAGACCCGCTTACTTTTCCAATTGTCACAAAACTTTATTGAAATAGTCGGGGAAAACCTGAGGAAGTGGGGGAATTTGAGAAGCAATTTGGTATACGCGCCACCATCCCTCGAACTACTCTGTCCTCCTCCCTTGCAGCCCGTACAGCCCTCCCGGCCTCCAGCGAGGAGCGGGGGGATGTCCGGGGAGTGGAGCGGCTCATCTTCGCCCCAGAGGACCGCATCAGTGTCTCCCTCGAGTACAGCGCACGGTGAGAGACTTCATTGCGCAAGCAGTCTAACGGCGGCCCCTTGAATTCGTCGTAAAGGCTAATTCGCTCGCTTGTGTCTGTGTGTGATCGACGCGTCGCAACCGCCTGTGGCCGCTTACGATGGGAGTGAAGCGCCTCGACATTTCTGCATATGTGTTACGAGTAGTGTCGGGTGCGTCATTGCGCGAGGCCCGTGCCTCGTGCGGCTCTTGGAGGCCAGTGGCGGTGGAGCAGCGAAGTGAGCGGCCCCCGGAAGGCAAATGGCGGCGGAGCATGCGCTCGAGGCGCGTGTCCCGCCCGTCGTTCGAGAATGGTTGTCGGTGCTTGTGAGGAATGTGAAGTGTGAATTTTATTGAGGGACTTTAGAAGGGGAGTACGCACCGGCATCGTCTTGTCGGGTGGCCCTGAAACCTTTCAAGTCCGCACAATACCGGGCCGACGGTTCTGCAGTATTTGCGAGATCAAATCTACCTGCTATCTACGAGAAATGGTCATTGACGGTGTCAGAATTAATTAAAGCACGGTTTTTGAAAGCTGGCTGTGGAATTCAGGGTCTCGAGGAATGAATCTAGTACTGGATATGGAAAGACTGAGCGGTGTGGATAATGTTAGCTATTAAAAGAATATTCTAGAATGTTGAATATAAATCCTTCGTAAAAAAAGAAAAAAAAAACAAAAAAACCTTGTAAAACAGGGTATTTTGGATATGATTATGACTGACGGTTCTGTTGCAGGGCTGCTCTAATTTGTGGCACTCATCTCTCACTTGTAGCTTTTTAGAGCAAGAACTTTAGTGGGAACCTCCCCGGGGACTTGCATGGTCGTCCTTAGTGAGAACTCCCGCTGACGTCATTGGCTACATCACCAATCGCACAATTGCTTTCAGCCCCCGCCGAGTTTAAACAAATAAAGTGTAAAACACACTTGCGCATCCCGTAAGGTGGAACACAGAGACATTTGAGATGTTCTGTCTGAGCCGCCAAGGGGTCAGAATAAGTTGTTGGCTTAGTTGGTTGAACATCACAAAATGTTAACACAAAATAAAAAGGACAAGGGAGGACAGGACAGGACAAGTGCTTCTTTCAACTGACGTTTTAATGAAAAGATAAAAAAGAGAAAAGGACAAAGTTAAATTTATATAAAAAAGAATGGAAAAAAGAAAAGGATTTAGAAGGAGGGCTGAGATCAAATAAAAAAAGCTAATAAGATTAAAAAAAATATTAATGTAAATTTATTTTTTAAACAATTTAAAAACAAAAGGTCTAGAAAATAAGGAGTTATTGTGTAGCTCCTTGAGTGCCCACTTCACTGACGGCACACTTATGCCGGGTTTGCTTCTTGCTGCAATGGCCTGGGCCTCGTAAATTTCGCTAGATCTTTTTGTCGTGGAACCGCCTCAGAATTTCTTCGCTAGCGAACAAAGGGGTGCACACACAGTCCCTCACATGTGAGGCTAGGTGACCTGACGGCCAAGATTTTGGAGAAAGTTCATGCTCTGTACCTGATGTTGATGCATCGTCTGGTCTAGCCCACTTAAACTTTTCCACGTGAGATTGGTATCTTATGCACAACACCGCAATCAAAGTTTATGTACTTCTGGGCATGTCTCACGCTGCATTTGTCCGCCCTGTTGCGCTGTCAGTCTGTTTTGGGCCAGAGCCTTGTTAGCTTGTCTGAAGCAGATAGCACTACCCAGACATCATACTTGGATGCGACTTTCTTGTAGCTGTGTGAGATGCGATGCATGTATGGGACAATCGCAGGTCGATGTCGCTCCTCTCCACTCTCTCTTAGTTGGTTAGATTTTATCAAGTACTCAGCTGCATCTGATAGTAGGGAAGCTGGAAGCTTTGAGCCGTAATGCTTGCACATCAAAGCTCTCCGCTGCTGAATAAGATTACCTTGTGCTACTGACTGAAACATCTCATGCAAATCACACTACTGACATCAACATGATCAAAAACATGGTCATAGACAAAGCGGAAGGGCTCTAGTTCATGCACGAGGCTCCAACAAAGAGCACATTCCAATTTTTAGGCCTTCAGCTCACTTTCAAAAGTAACCATCTACGGTACAATTTTTTTCCCGAGAAATTGACGCATATTTAGGGGGTGCGTTCATTACGTGGGGTAAAAGCTTTCCATTTGCGCACTTCGTGCTAATGTCGTATTAGGTGCCTATATGACACGGCAAGGTACTGTGGCACGTCTCGACTGATAGAGGTGCACCCACGGCTGGTCTGGGGCGCACCACAGTAGCCATGCTTTATAAATTTCAATCCTTTTTAGGGCACTTCCGGCATGCCTTTGATGAAGGAAAAGCGTCCTACGAAGCTCACTCAGCATGGAGAGCAGTGCAACCTAACCACTTTCATGCAGCTCTTGAGGAGTAGGGAAGGGTACTGAGGGGAGGGTATATTCCTCCTCCTCCCTCGTGATCATGCCTGCTAGTCCTCCTCTCCTCCTCCTCCACCCCCTCCCTCTCCTTCACCGCCTCCTCGTCCTTCAAGCTCCTCCCCTCACCTCCGCCTCTCTCCTCCCCTTCCTCCTCCACCTTCGTACTGCTTTCCTCCTTGCCGCTCAAGCCGGAAACGGTCGCCTAAGAGCTGTGCTCTGAAATATAGAGTCAGAACAAATATTTTGGCAGGTTGACATTTTATTGATAGGGGAAAAACCGTGGTGTATATTGGAAACTGCGTTGCATATCCAGCCAAGGTTTACGCTAATAACGTACAAAACAGACATACGCACTTGTTATACCAGTGTACCTTAAAGTTTGCTCCGCGAGTTTCCAATTTACGTCCTGGATGAAAACCCCATTATTAATTCAACTAAAACGCCATGATCAGCCGCCGTGGTACGATGTTCAGCAGCCCCTCCAGTGTAGCAGTCAACCAGGACATGAAGGAAAAAGCATGTAGTTAAGCAGTGGGCAAATTTTCCCAGGGTTTATGCTTGACACCCATGCTTAGACAGTTAGAAGTTAAAATGCTGCCTACCTTATTTTTGTCTGCTGTGCGTGAGCAGCAAAACGTTTTCACTTCTAAGCTTACAAGGGTTTCAAGGTGACGTGATCACCAGACTAAAACTGGGATGGTTTTTGTCGTCCTAGTAGATGGGCACTCGGCGGGGTATAATACCAAAAAGCACTTATAATAAGTGAAACAAGCGTGAAAAAAGACACTTTAGAGAAGCTACAGGCAGGCACACCATCTTAAACTTGATAAGGGACTTGCCCCAAACATGGTATTGTGATTTGTTTAGATCTGACGCAAGATGAAGTCCAATAGTTGATGATGGAACAGGGTCATAAAAGTCGTCACATGCTTGGAACACACCTACAATAAATGTACCGAAGCCGGTCTGAAATGTGTTAATGACGTTTACAACGTTTTCGTCGGACGTCTTAACAATGCTGTCGGCCATGTTAAATTCGAATGAAAAATGTTCAAGCTCTAGATACTTAGACTGTGTAGGTCCAGTAGCAAAGGAAGGAAGAGGCCCCGAGCTATGACATTCCCTAAATTCCAAATGCGCTCCACGGAAGAGGGGGGGAGGGAACGGAGGGGAGGGTATGCCCCTCCTCCTCATCCGTACTCAGGTTGCATGCAACTGCAGCTCAGGTTGCATGATGCGGGTCCCGGTGACGTCATCAGTGGCAATGACTTCAACGGGGGGTCACGGGACCTCGGGGGGTGACCCCCCCCCCCCCCAAAGTCACGTGACACCCCCCCCCAAGGTCATGTGACCCCCTCCCCCCGAGGTCACGTGACCCCCCGGGAGCATATTCGACAATGAGGGGAGGAGAAAAAAGAAGTTGCATGCAACTCAGGTTGCATGCAACCTGAGTTGCATGCAACCTGAGTTGCATGCAACCTGAGTTGCATGCAACACACGGTCACGCTGACGCGGCTCAGGCTGGAAACGGGCCCCTAAGAGCTGCGCTCTAAAACGACACCGACCTGCGATCGTCCCATACATGCATCGCATCTCACACAGCTTGAAGAGAGTCGCATTCAAGTACGATGTCCAGGAGGTGCTATCGGCCCCAGACAAGCTAACAAGGCTATGCCCCAAAATAAACTGGCAGCGCAACAGAGTGGGCAAACGCAGCATGAGACATGCCCACAAGTACGTAAACAGTGACTGTGGTGCTGTGTATGAGATACCGTTCCGATGTGGAAAAGTTTGCGGGCCAGACCGGATGATGCATCAACGTCAGGCTTGGGGAGCATGAACTTTCTCTGAAATCCTTGCCGTCAGGTCACGCAGCTTTAGGTATAGGGGACTGTGGGTGTGCCCGTTGTTCAGTAGCGCAGGAATTCTGAGGCAGTTCCACGACAAAATAACTAGATAAATTTACGAAGTCCAGGCCATCGCAGGCCATCGCAGCAAGAAGCAAACCCTTCATAAGCGTGCTATCAGGGAACCTGGCACTCCAGGAGCTACGATACCTCCCTTTTTCCTAAACTTTGCTTTCTTCTCGACCTTTTGTTTTCACTTTTTTTAAATAATTTTACCTTTATATTTTTTATCTTCATTTTTAATTAACTTTAAATTTCTTTCTCGTCCACCTTCCCTTTCTTTTTTTTTTTTTCATTTTCTTTTTTGTATAAATTTATCTTCATCCTTTTCTTCCTTTATGTTTTCATTAAAACATCAGTTGAAAGTAGCGCTTGTCCTGTCCTGTCCTCCCTTGTCTTTTGTGCTAATATTTTACAAGCTGTCGTTTTGGAGGTGATGGACCTGAACGGTAAAGGAGCGAGCGCCACCATAGAGCCAGCATTGTTTCGGATTAAACCGAATATCACGCCGAACGTCAAGTCCATAGCGTTTTGGAACCAATGAGGTTGTATTAAGTAGAAAGCATTTCAGTTGCGTGCTTAAGAGGGGAGTGTGTTTTCTTACCTCACTTTGGTACAAGTAGCCACATGTGCTAAACGAAAAGTGACCAATAAACGGAGGCAAGCAACAGGACGAAGTGCACTCTCAAATGAAGGTTAATTGAAACAACACACTATTATTACTCTTTCTGTACGTTTGTTTAGAAAATAAGACTCAATCTGTCAGGTGTATTGACGGGACACTAACACATTTGCTTTCACTTTGCTTTTTGATACGAAATTTACCGTAAAATTCGAAGGCAGTTTTATCTGCCTATCTCCCGAGAATTGTTGTTTGTGCTAATTCTGGGTCGCATGGGCACCTATCCCAGTGCACTGCCAGATTGCCCGGTATGGACTGTGTTGTTGACAATGCATGTTATCTTGCTACCATGCATGACAATGCACGTTTTGGCATGAGCCGAAAATGGCCCGCGTCAATGTGGAGGGCGAACGACGGCGCGAAATCGCGAAGGGTCCCACTAGCAGCTATCGCTATAAAGTTTCCGTCCGACGATTCGAATTAGCGACCTAAGGACAATGGCAGTTCTTTCCTCTACAGTCGATAGCTCTACCAACTGAGCTATCAGTGGGGCAAATTTTTACGAATTAAAGGCAGTATCCATTTCTTTCTACCTTCCATAATGCTTTGGCATCTCCCGAGCCTCAAGCGCACAGCCAGAGCAAGGCAAAAGGCACGTGCCAGAAAGGGGGCGTACGAAAGAGACGCCATTCTCACTTTGACGGTGGCACAACCATCCGTGCAGACAAACTTGCACGCCGTATGGTTAGACCTCAGAAAGTTAGTAGCGGGTCTGAAGAAAGCAACTTTCAGTTACGGCCTGCCGAGGAGGCTCTTCGTCGACGGAGTACGGATCCGGCAGGGGAGTGAAATCAAGGGGGGAAGTGAAAGTGGCGCAAAGATCCTCCAATTCATGCCGGGGAGATTGCAGAAACGACAATGACATCCCAATGATAACGAATTGGGCGAGTACCGAGCTGCTGTCATTGTGACATACGAATGCACTTGGATTTTTTAACTTTAGCTTTGTTTGGGTAAGAGATTCTTGGTGACATGTCGACCTTTCTTTTTTCCTCCAAGATTGTTTGGGTTGCGTGTTTTATCCAGTTTAGTGGCGGTACTATGGACACGATCCGGTGTAAAAAGGGGTTAAAATTTAAGTATATTGAGAACATCTCTTGGGACAATTAAAAAATAGCGAGTTTTTATCAGTATTGAACCTTGATTTAACGAAGTCACCGGGACCCGCTAATTATATCATTAAATCGGAAAATTCGTAAAATGGGGTTTCATTAAATCGAGGCTCAACCCTAACAGCTTTTCAACTCTTGGAAGAATATGTTAGGTATAATGGCACGAACACAGCATTTTCTTGTCCTCTCCATGCTAAGGTTTTATGTTGAAACACTGGCAATAAGCAGGAAAAAAAAGTGGAGGAAAGTCCAACAGCTCTTTTGGCATTTTTCTGGTGCATTCCGGGCACAATGATGGTTGTATCTCTTTAGCAGATAAGTTCTTGGTTCAACGAGAAAGGATGGTTTGCTTAAGCTTTTGTTCGATGCTTCACTCCTAGGTGGTTCACGAGCACACACTTATTAAGGAATATTCACTTGAAGGATGCTTTTTGGTGAGAGATGTGCATAATGTCAGTGATCGGTGGAACCAGCGGTATTCCCTTCCTGACTCAAGCAGTCATACGAATGGTGGGGAGCCGAGAGGGATGGCAGTATTATCGGACGCTTTTAGCAGTCGCACTCTTTACAACGGGGCTCGGTACACGCTGACGAGAGTAGGAAAATGCAGGCATGCATGAAGCAGCGATACGAGATTATGGCAGCGGCGCTGTTAGATGCAGAGGACGACAAACTGCTTGCTGCTAAAAGAAGATGCTTCTTGAATGGGTGGATGCTACACAAAGGACGTGGAATCAAAATGCAGCTGTATGAGGAGCAGCTTGAGGACGGCATCAATGAATATCGAGGATTCCTTTGGGTGCCCCGGACCAACGTTCTTAGATCTAGTAACGTTGCCTCGGACGACATGAGCGACGGTGCAAGCGTTATGCGATCCCGATGCCGCCGCGGGCATCTTGCTCCGCAAAATCTGTAAAGTTGCCGGACACGCAAACCGAATATACCGCCAGTTGCAAAGAGATCCCACGCCAGGGCGGTGTTATGAATGGCCCCCGGACCATTTTCACACTGTCTACATCTGGCCGTTTGTTTTCGTCGAGCGCCTCCCGCGGGTTCAAGGTCATCTGACTCAGCGAGCCTGGCGCAAGCATCGCTTCGGAAGCACGCCTGCCCCGCGGACGCACCAGACGGGCGCCGTGATATAGCCAGACTTTGCCGTGTACACACGTCTGGATATCGCATCCGAAGAGGGAAAACAACATCTCAGGTTTCACACCAGGGCACGATCCGGGGCGATGAAATCATCAGGACGCCTTCATTCAACGCGTAGACACGAAGAGTCGAATGTCGGCACGTCACGTCTCGGCCCCGGACGGTGTTTTGACCAGCTGCGTGAATTCCAATGAGCCGGTGTTTTGGTGAGACTCGGCGCCGTCTAGACCGACGGTGAAGTGTTTACGGCGGCTCAGTGTGCGTAATAGTGGAATGTGGGGCGGTGTTTGAACTAGACACCTTTCTGTGATTGGCTGACTATCCGCCGATGTAGGGGTCCCTACCAAGGGACCTGGGGAGAACCAAGTGCTTAAAATGAACGAACTTTGACAAGCAAATATCTTCTCTGGTTTTGAACCAACTGTACATCATGTAAATAAACAGTGTACTTTTCGAGAGAGATCGCGGCTCATCGTTGTTCCCGCTGAGCTCCAGCCCAGTGCCTGGCTCGAGTCGCCCCTCCACCGCCACGGACCCCGCTCGGTCAAAACGGCGGTGAGCATTTGTGCAGCCCGAGGAAACACTATTCACACTCCTGGGATGTGTACGTTAGCGCAGCTCCGTGCAAAAGTGTGGTGTTATTATCACGTGATGCACATCCTGGGCAGCAAAGGGGGGGGATTTAATGCCTTGTGTGAATACCCCTTTATCAACAATGGTGTCTGTCACTTTCTTTGCAGGCTTTGCTTCTGATGATCCAGTTCTAGGTGTTTAGACAGTTCACGAGTGCATATACTTGTCACTTTGCAGGGATGTCCTCCCCATCCGGCCGCTCCTTGTGGGTCCCACCGAGGTTACCGAGGAGAGTGTAAGTTTACTTTGCGACCCGTTGCTTATGATCAGATTGAAACCACACAATGAAGTTCTCACGAGGGGAAGGTGGCTTTTCGTAATAGTGCTGCGGACGAGAGAGCTCGTAAATATAATGAGGTCAACCAGTGAACACCTTAGAGAGGTAAAGACTGGAACGAACAAGGTATATTTTTCATTTCTAGATGGTTGCATGCTTCATGCAACGAGAAACTGAGGGAGAGGAGGAGATGAGAACATGGTGGGGACGTTAGAACGCCGAGCTCTGGTTGGAATGCTTAGTGGGTAGATGCAAAGCTTTTAGTGCCTTTGTCTCCGCTGCGCTCGTCAAACGCGATAGAATGCTAAACGCTGGCATCCTGGGTTTGACTCATGTTCAAATGTATTGAGTGCAATGAAGACAAAGGCTGCTCGCTTTAGGTCTACCCAATAATCATAGGAACCAAAGCTCGGCGTTCTGACGTCCCCATGCGCGCTTGTCTACCCCTCTCTTTTAGTTTCTTGGCGCATACCTGGGTCAACTCCGCTTCCTAATTTTAGTGTGGTGTTAAGTTATGCAAGCAGGCATACAAACTGCAGAGAGTTCAACGCAGGTTCGCTAAAGAATGCAAATGGCACTGTTTCTTTACAAAGATCATCTGATACATTATATTTACCCACATAAAGTTGCACACTTTTTTTCCTCTGAAAAATGAGGCCATATAAAAAGGGTTTGACAATTATAGGAGAGGGGGAGGAAAGAGGTGAGGATTCCAGTGTTAGAATAGAGGGCATCGTTAAACATCAATATTGTTTGTTTGTTTGTTTATTTTTGACACAATTGTCAGGGAGGTTGGGACAAAAGGCGAAAACGAATCACCTGACTAGGTCCCAACACCCGTTACAGCACTCAGCAGCAGGGCACAGGAAATGAATCAAAAACAGCATAAATCAAAAATAAAACAATATCTGAGAAGATAAAAATACGAGAAACAAAAATGTGCAATCTATTTTGATGTGAACTATACTAGGAATACACACTAGGCACATTGAAGTATACCGTAAGGTATTTTGTGTGGTCTAAGCTAATTCGAATACACAATAATTTCTGTTAAGAAGATCGGATATCTGGTAGGATATTTTTTGTGTACCGTAATTAGGTCTTATTTTAGGTTTTGAAAACTGCTGGTGTCTCAAATTGTAATTTGTTTGCCTGGATAAATATGTTCATCCAGGCAAACATAGTTCTTACTGGATAGTTAGCCTGTTTCCTGATGACTGTGAGTTGCCTGAAAATTAACAATCTCTTCAACATCTCTTCTCCAGCCTGATGTTAACCATATTTTCGAGCACTATAGCTTGTGGTGCATCTAGCTAGTATGCTGACAAGTGCAACATCACTTCCCGTTGAATTTTGGGATAATGCATCTCTTGAACCCGAGTCTCTGTACAAGTGTCTGCATGTTCATGCAACTGATAACATCTCGGGGAGAAACTCCCATAGATTGCATTGTTAGCGAGATAATTTCATGTTCGGCTCTCATGTCACATTCTGACATCCTGTCTCAAAGCTCGGCGTTCATGTGTTTTTTTTTTTTTGTTGTTTTTGTTCCAATTTTGTGAATGGTAAAGGCATGAGATGGACTGTGTGGTGAAGGTTTTGTTTGCACCAGTGTGTGTTACAAAAAGCTGTTCAAACGTAAAATAAAAAATAAAAAAATAAAGTTGCAGGAGAACGTTTAAGGTTTACTTTTAAGAGTGGAACGCGATAGGTAAATATAAACCCCCGCTTGTTCTCAAGCCGTGTCTGCGTGGCCTGGTCGGTAGCGTGTCTGGCTCGCAACTGTAGGGTCCGATCCCGCTCCGCCTAAAATTCTTGAATTTTGGGCGGATTTTCCCGTCTCGCCGACGCTGACTTTTGTGCGACACAAGCTCCTTCAAGCTATCGCTTTAAAAAGCAAACAAATAAATAGAAAAGTAAACAAGATGCAGATACAAAGTCTATGGACGTGACTTGGATGTGGATATAGAAACCACTAGACATGTTCCACACGAGCATGTTATTCTGGCAGTGCCATAGTCCGTCACAGTGAAGCGTGAATAATTACTGCCGGCGGATGGGGTGATTGTGCTGACCTGCCGCCTCAATCGAATGCAGCCCCCGAGCAGTCGTCGTTACCTGTGCTGTCCCGGTGGCTTCACGGTGGGCCATCTCAAGAAGTTTCTGAGGGCCAAGTTTGGACTGGCAAGGGCCCACGAGGTATGGTGGTCCATCCTTCTAGACTCTCCCATTGCTTGATGTCATAGTATGTGCATCAGTTGTTCTAGATTGTTCCGTGGTTTGATGTCAGAGCACATGCATCAGTTGCTCTACACTCCTTTGGTTTGACATCATGGCATGTGCGTCAGTTGTTCTAGACTCCTATGGTTTGACATCATAGCACGTGCGTTAGTTGTTCTAGACTGTCCCATGGTTTGATGTCATAACACGTGCATCAGTTTGACTCTCCCATGGTTTGATGTCATAGCATGTGCATGAGTTGTCCTAGACTCTCCCACGGTTTGATGTCATACCATGTGCGTGAGTTGTCCTAGACTTTCCCATGGTGTATGTGCAGTGGCATTTCCGAGAAAACTATGCACCCCCGGAGTAGTCTCAGTTCCATATGGAAGTTGCAGCGACTCTTCTCAGTCTGTTATGAGTGTGTAAATATCAATTTCTATGCGCATTGTGTCCAACACAAAGTCAAGTGGGCCACTCTTCAACATTATTGATAGCTTGAGGCACCTCAGTGACTTTTTCTGGACTGAAAATGCTGCTAGAATAAGTAGGAAAGATCTGGTAAAGCTAGGGAGTTTAAAGGTACAATTTTAACAGGCATCCATGATCAACGGAACTTTTTCTTAATGAGCTTGCATTAAATTTGGCCTACTTGCCTTCTTCAGGTGGACGTGATGTATGTGCACGACCATCTGCTCGAAGAGTACTCCCTGATGGACTTGGCATACATCTACTCTTGGAGGAGGGTGAGTCTGCACTTTCTTTCAGGATTAACCCTTCGAGGGTCGCTGCTATACTGTGGTGCTGACTATACATTTGAAAGTTCCCGCCTTAGTGCAAAACAGCGCACACCCCGGGGGGTGCTGCCATCTGTTGTCTGTGGAGAACTATAGTTCTTGTATTCATGCTGTGTTTAGACTTGTTGGGGTAACTTATGGTTCCATACATGTGAGATGGTCGCTTTGCATGTCGGCTGCTCTGGTGTAGTGGCAGTCAGAGCGCTGGCTCCTCCGGTTCAGACATCCAATGCTTCACGGAATTGAATTCAGAAATTAAGAGCTCATTATCTGGTGAAGAAGCTCTGTAAAGTATCTCAGGTTCAAAGTCTGAGACCGCCGGAATGTCAAGGAAGCAGATTCACCTAAGTGGATAGAAGAAAGGCAAATACTTTTTCCCTCAATATTTTCATTCAATGTTTCTCAATTTCGACAGCTTCAAGGCGCTATGTGCTCTCATTCAATAATTTAAAAAAACAAAACCCTGCGTTCACCGATTTTTCGTATTATTCATTTTAAAAAAAGCCTAAGCACTGGGGTCTGTCTTCAAGGAAAAGAACTCAACTGCGGAATGGTTAAGGGTAATGAGCCACGCTTTGACAAATGTTCCCTCTGCTCCGCAGAACGCGCCGATGCGGCTGCGATACCGGTTCCCCGACCTGCACACCTCTTTGTCCACCGAGTCCCGGGACAAAGAGCTGGTTCCCACAGCACCCAATGATGGAAAGACTATCGTCATCGCCGCACCGAGCAGCGCCCCCTGTCCGCAGACAACTGAAACTCCGCAGCCTCCAAGCCCGCGACCAAACTCCAAGCCCGCGGCGTTCCAGTACAGCACGCCGAACAAACCCGGTGCAAAAACCCCGACACCACCGCCGCAACTCCCCAAGGCAGCCGTGCCCCACCCAGCAGCGGCGGCGACGACGCCACCCGCCCGAAAAAACGGAGTGGTCGCTTCGAACGGCGTGCACCCTAACTTGAGGCACATCTTGCCGGCGTCAGCAACAGGCGTGCATGCCAACTTGAGGCACATCTTGCCGGCGCCAGCAAAGACTCCGACGACGAATGGCGTAGGCGGTTTCACGCCGAAGGCGACAGATAAAAACAACCGCGTCACCGCCACGGTGCCGGGTGGCATAGCGGCGTTGTCGGTGGCGCCAGCGGAGCGACGCCAGGACGAATCACCCGCTGCCAAAAGACCGCACTTGGACTCTCGGCAGTGCAACGAGGCCGTGGCCTCGTGACACCGGCTGAAACGGGGGTGTACATAACGGGGTGGGAAACGTGTACAAAGGGGATTTCTGCGCCAAGCGTGGTGTTGCCGCGGCATCCGAGGGAAGTTCCATTGTCATTTAAGTTATTATTGGTTGCAATGCTACTACGGTGCGTAGCGACTTTCCGGCCAGACAGCCGGCCCTAGGTGAGAGAGAGTTTAATTTAAGTGTAGTACCGAGTCACCGTGTGTGCCAACACCGGAAAGAGTTTGGTGCGGCCATTTCGTGGCGAAGGTACGTTTTGAAAAGGGCGGCTTTGTCGCAAGACCTTAACCCCCCCTGTCAGATTTGTGACAAGTGAGGAGCCTTAACCTCTATTTTTCTACCCAGCATGGCAAGATTGCAAAAAGAAAGCGGAAGTTGCACTATATTTTCGTAGCGTGCTACATCACCTGTATAGCGACTTGTGTACAGCTACAAGTGAATAAAATCTTCGATGCTGTATGGCACTATCACACTTTCAAAACCAAATATACTTTTCTTCTCCGTTCCTCTTTTGTACATTGAATTCTTGGTTTGCTAGATTCCACGAACTGCATAGTCGACATACTGCTGGCTACACTGCTACTATTACTACTACTACTACTAGCAAAAATCACCAGCACTTAGGGTTACCAATTGTCCCAGATTTTGCGGGACTGTCCCGAATTTTCATTAAGCGTCTCGTGTCCCGCATCGTCCCTGTCGGGAGAGCTACATGTCCCAGATTAGGTCCAGACCGTCCAGTTGAAAAAATTTTGTGATCCATTGCACGGCCAACAATGTGCGTCATGCTGTGAAGCACGAAGCAGTGCTGTGGTTATGGTTAGGGGTGTCGCAAACCGGTCCAGGTTCGACCGGTTCGCAACTGGCCGGCCTGTCGAATGCGTGACAGGCTGGCCAGTTGGCTTTGGATTGGATGGTGACGGCTAAGATACGAATTAAGGGAATTAAATTATTAATTTCTTCAGTGATTAGAATGTTTCTTTTAATTGCAACTGTTCATAAAATTAAAATAACCCTTTGCATAAAAAAAATTCTCCAAAGCTAGACAGGCTTGTATCAAGGTCTGGCCACACTGTCCACAAAGTCAAACCGGTCGAATCTGGTTACAGGTTCAAAGGTTCCGTCAAACCGGTTCCACACAGTCGAACTCCGAAAGTTCTACCTAAAAATACGGTTTGACAAAAGTTTGCAACACCCCTAGTTATGGGGGGTGACTAGCGTTGGCTGTGGAAGGCTTTAGCATGCAAGCCATGGCAAGTCTGACATCGGGGCGCAACTAGGGGTGTCGCGAACTTTTGTCGAACCAGATTTTTTCGTAGAACTTTCGGGGTTCTGGGTCGAACCGGTTCGACGAACCTTCAAACTTTTCACCAGATTTGACCGGTTCGACTTCGTGGACAGTGTGGCCAGACCTTAATACAAGCATGTCTAGGTTTGGGAACAAATTTTTTATGCAAAGGGTTATGTTAAATTATAAACACCTGAAATTAAAAGAAACTAATTCTAATCAATGAAGAAGTCAATAACTTTATTTTTAGTACTCTATTAACTGAAATAGCCAAGCAGTGCTGCACTTAATTGATCTCTTAGCCATTATCATCCAATCCGAAGCCAACTGGCCAACCTGTCGCGCATGCGCACACGAGTCGAACCTCAATAGAAGGTTCGTCGAACTTTCCACTAAAAGTTCGAAAAAGTCGAACCTGGTCGAACTCGAACTGCGGCCGGTTCGCGACACCCCTAGGCGCAACTGGTGCCGGGTGGCGTCCGTTATCATCATCGTTTGTATAAACCCCTTTGTATCTCCCTTCTTTCTTGCGCTCCCCCCCCCCCCCCCTCCCCTAATATACGTTAAAATTTAATTTTTTTGTGCAACTGCCACTGCATGGTGAGAAAGGCTAACGTATGTTTCGTCGGTTCACAAACGTATAAACCCCTCTGTGTCCCCCCCTCCTCCTCCTCCTCACCCCCAACTTCCTTCGTTGAAGAGTTGGCAACCCTACCTGCACTTCAATGTCATTTTATGGTATTTGCAGTGCCTTGCTGTCATTTGTTTGAATTAGAATTAGGTAGCCAAGAAATTGACCCCCAAATTGTCTTATTAAAAATGGGGAAACCTAAAAACCCCAAATTGGGGATATCTTCATAAGAAAAGCCCTAGCTTTATGGAAAGAACATCTTTATAGACAGCTTTATTTTTTTGTGAACCTGGAACACAAGCTGCACTGAACCCGGGGCTGCTTGTTTCTTAGGAAGACACACCTTATTCCATTTTATTCTCTTGTTGCCCGTGTCGTTTTGTTCAGCAAGCTCTTGACAACCAGGGTTTCTGCCCGACGCCAAACATTATTCTAAAAAACACTGAATCCAAACTTTATCTTTATTATTTGATTAAAGGAGTGATGGAACAATTTTTGTACTTTCAGTAAATACAGCTTAAGTATTCCTTAGCGCTAATAACCTACAACACTTTTTTTTACCACTGGAAATGGGGTGTAGGAACTAATGGTCCTGAACTAATGGTCCCAAGCCCAAGGTAGGACAAAATGGTCCCGTAAGAAGGTTGTTTTGAAACTAAGATATACCATGCAATATACTTCATCCATTATACAATCAGTAATTTTCTGGTGGAATGAAGGATCTCGTCTATATTTTGAGGCCGGTTACTTCGAAGGAAGTGGTCAGGTATTGAACTTAATAAATTTTTGAAAGAAAAATGAATACCCCTAGGTATACTGTCGAAGTGGGTCCATAATGCATGGGCAAATGACGTTTTAGCGAATAACGGGGGCGTGTGTTAACCCCCCCCCCTCCCCGTGCTGCGCTTATGCCGCTTTGCGGCGACAGTCTGCGGCAGCTCATTTAAAGTATGTTAATGCACTTGGCCCACCCGTAAACACCGCTTCGCGGTGGCCGACTATTCGCTAAAGTGTCATTTGGTGAAACGTGGGCGTTCAATAAAACGTCTTGATCAAATGAGTGCCTCCCCCTGTTGAAGCCATGAAACTCGAATTACTTCCATCTCGTCATGACGCGTGGTGCTGGCACTCATAACAAACGGAGCTCGATGCCTTTATAGGTGCGTTACGTTTCCATAGTGCGAAACATTTTGGAGTATCCTAGAAAAATACAAAAACCGGTCAAGCTCGTGCAACCATCAGCATCGAAATTTGGAGCTTTTCTTATAAATTAAAAACTGTAAAACGTTTACCGGCGAGTGTTATTGGATTTTATCCGAAAACGCAGAAGTCCCATGGGCATTATTTATCTGGGACCATTTTTTCCTAGTTTGTACTTGGGACCATTAGTTACCATTTGTTCCGGGACCATTTATTCCGGGACCATTTGTTTCGAGACCATTTGTTCCGTTTCCCCTGGAAATGACATTTATTGGTGTTGTAGCAGGGCATGGGCATCCATCATCGATATCGCTAGAGGCTTGGAAAAAGATTGCCTTCCACGGTGTTCTCGGGATTTGATCCTGGGTTCGCTGTGTGTGAAGCGAGCACATTACCACAGCTTTGAGAATTTGCTTTATTGGCACTTGATAAACACTGTGTGTACCAGTGTCGCAATGCCACAGCTGCTGTGGCGTTGCGATAGAAAACTTTGTTCTTAATTCCAGATATAATCGGAATTAATTGTTGAAATTAAAAACTTTGGCTAGGCGACTTAAGCCGCCGCCCAATTAAAAGGGTTCAGCTGTATCCATCTGTCCCTTTCACCTTGTATTATGCAGTATCATGCCGCCTGCAACCTTGCATCGTGCCACCTGACCCAATGCCATCTAGAAGATGAGGCCTCCCTCCCTCCCTCCCCAAAAGGTCATCACTATAGTTGGCAACAGGTTAAGAGTGAAGTGGAAACATTTCTCATCTCTTTCCCCATTAGCAGAGCGAACACTGGAGAGGAGGAGACCTCCTCTCCAGTTACAAGTTCGAGGGTGCGTAAAAAGTGTGGTGGAAGCCAAGTCGTCACATTCCTTAATCAACACTGATGAGAGTCTAATATTTATTTTTGTATGCGAGAGCAGAAATGATCCTACTCAAGACGTCATAGTGACTCTCTAGCCATTCGTGAAAGGCCAACCACAGCAAAGTTTTTGGTCGCCAATAGTTTCGACCCTGTAAGGAGAACCGGTTGTTGCGACTTTTTCTGAAACTGTGAGAGCTACAAATGACGCAGCCCTATTTCATTCTGACCACTTTTCCCACACCCCTACAAACAAGCCATCACCAATTTGAATTGTCCTGTTAAAAAAAAAGCATCAAAATTTTGTGAAAATAGTGTTTTAATTCCCATAATGAAATTAAGAAGGCCTACCTCTGTGGCAAAGGTGGCAAACTATAATCCGATCTGGCACCAAGTGTTAGTTGTCGCAAACAAACTGACACAGTCTATTTTGATTACAGTAAAGCCTTCAATCGCGTTATCATAATATTTTACTTCATAAATTATCTTTTTACGGCAAAAGTACAAATCATTGTTTGTGGTTCTCCACCAACCTCCCAACAGATTGAACTGTGTTTCCCATGGAGGAGCCAAGTCACCTTCTAAAGCGGTAGCTTTATAGGCTCAACCATGCTCAAGGTTGCGTAATCAAGGTCACGTAATGCCCGTGGCTGAAGAGCAACGTTACGTAACTGGGGTCGCAAACGTTGGTTATGCAAGCTCGCAAGCATCGGCAGCCGAGGCCGAGGTCGTACTAGAGGTCATCATAGAGCTTGTCCTCTGGACGTCATCCTTAATGTCGTCCTAATCACCGTCCTTGAGGTCGTCCTTGACGTCATTCTTGAAGTCGTCATCGACATTGTCCCAGAGGTTTTCCTAGACGACATCCTTGACGTCATCGTAATGTGTGCACGACATATTACAACCATTTCATCACCATACCGTTTCCCAACTGTTTTCATAACGACGTCGCTGTAAAGCTACTGCATTTCATTGCATTTGGTCAAATGAATGTGCCAGCAATATTTTTTATGGTTCCGTCCAAAGTGCCACGGGGCTCATACCTCAGTCCCCCGTTCTTTTAACAATTTTCACAATTTTGTTTGCTGACGATATGCAATTGTATCGCTAAGTTTATGACTGGCACGGTCATCAACCCTTTTCACTTTGCAGTACAATTTCATAGCATCAGCAAAATGGGACAAACTATGTCAAATTGCACCGAGGCACTTGTTGCAATTTGACATCAATTCTATGGGTGTGCAGATAATGAGCTTGAGCTAAATTCTCTGAGAACACAATTCCTAATGCTCACACGCAAAATTCTACCTGTTATCTCCAATTACCATCTCAATAAAACTCATTAAACGTTTGTCAGTTGTGCTTAACCTTGGTATTATACTGAAGGAGAAATTAAATTTCAAAAGTCGCGCTGGTACAACCCTGTTATCTTCCGTAAAAGTGTCAGGTGTTCTCGCTCACCAGAGTTCTACGTTTCAAGAAGCCTTAATCTGCCATAATTAAATTTCGCATCAGTTGTCTGGAACAACGTTCTCAGTGCCATTGCTGCGGCGACCTTGGAGCGAGTGCAAAAAAAGACACGCAAGAATGTTCCACGCAAGACAACACTTATCCCAGCCTCTCTTATCAGAATATGCTCTCTTGCATTTGGTCGATTTACTAACTAGACGAGGTAGGAACGATCTCGTAATTGTGCATCGTATCTGTATGATTCATTTATGTATCAACCATGACAGTACAAGTATCATATCTCGCATCAATATAACTGCTCCAGTTCGGCATTTCTGCAGCAATTACACATTCACCATAAGCCCTACACATTGTTTATATCAGTTTGCATTCACTTTTTTTTTAATTACCTCGGCTCGTTTTTCGTTGATGTTTGTAACAATGACCCAATGTATTTCAATAGTCGTATTTCCTTTTTTTGGTAATGTGTTGTTAGACGGCCGTCTTCTGACATTTGCTTTGTAAACAATTAGTCGTTTTTAACAGGAACATTCTAAAATTGTTTAGGAAAACTATCAATAGAAAACTACTGCAATATCCAACATTTTTTGTCACTAGATATGCAGCCGAATGCCCGGAGAGTGCAACTGTGAAAGTAAAATTTCCAAAAAGTAATTTATTGTATATTAACATTGCACTGAAAAATCAAATGAATTGTATGCCTTTTATGTTGTTGACAAAATCTTTTATAAGAGACAACCACAAAGTAAAAATTTGGCAGAGACACTTCAGACATTCCTACAAGCAGCGTGGCACGTCTTCCTATCGCACATGGCGCTTCGGTGGCGGCACCACGCTCCCCCACTGCGCAGGCACGGCGAACTCCGCCGGCCTCACAACGGCTTCCATAGCATCTGCGTTGCTGTGCTTTCCTTTGCGTTTTATTTCTGATGCGCCCGCTTTGACCTTGAGTGCACCCACCATCTTCCGTGACGAGGCATCTGCGTTGCTGTGCTTTTCTTTGCATTTTATTTCTGAGGCGCATGCTTGACGACATTTGTTTGACCATTTTTCTATGATAGGATAAGTAAAGCTTTCACCTAAAAAAAGCAATGCCACAGTTGCATTACCCATTAAATTCCAGTTCGGAAACACAATGAGTGAGCCTTTTCTTTTGTCTCATTACCAAACAATAGTTTTCCTGAAGTATTGAAATTTATGCCAAAAAGTGGACTGGAAAAAACGCGTTTAAGGCGCTCGAACCTTCCCTTCAGCATCAGTGGACCAAAAATAATTTATAAAAAAGTAACTATGCAGTGTAAACAAATCAACGACGTAGAGGGACTTGGAACGATAAACTGGTAGCTGAAAGTGACCCCCAATTGGCCGCCACCATGTTGCACATTTTTAACCACAAGACACATGACCTTATACTTCTATGTCTAGATTTTTATGAAGTACCGTGCACAAATGATTGCCTATTGATCTTTAATAACAGTACTGATGAGATAAGTAATGTTTCGTTTGTTTCAAGTCCAAAATGTGCTTTTACGACAAAAACTTTGGCAATTTTGCAACTCCTCTGCTAGATGCCGTTAGCCGCAGTGCTGCATTTTGGGTTTTTATTGGAGCTAGACACTGATCTCTGGGCTGTTTTTTACAGCGATTGCAATACAAACATCGGCTCAGTTTTGCGTAAAAGCTTCAGGATTTGGTATGGTCACATGTCTAGTTTTCAAAGTTGTACAACGTGATGGCAGCCAAGTGTGGGTCACTTTTACCTGGTGAACAGGATACCAGTTTATCGCTCTAAGCCCCTTAACCTCGTTGAAACAAATGAAACTTTCTAGGAATAATCTCTAGATGTTGGCGGATGTAGATATGGCATTTTTCAAGATCAACTTTTTTTGTAGAAATGTTTTTTTCTTTTAGGTAGTGCCTCATGAATGTATCACAAGCTTTTCCTCCAGCCCGTGCCCGTTGCGTTGACGTCGCACTTTGGCTGGGCATGTTCACGGGACCCCAAAGTGTTGGCCAAAAGTGGAGTTAGCTCGAGCTAGAGGCGGAGCTTTGGGTGCACCCTCAACTTGTATTAAACTACAGTCGCCGACACGTTTCTCGGACGCCGATAATTGAGGCTCGTTTGATATTTCAAACCTAAAGGAGGGGAACCGTGACTTACCCGATAAAAATAGTGCATATTCTTCAAGTCCGAAAGTTTGATTTTTCAGACAAAATTGTTGCGAGCGATCAACGGGAAACACCACCGAAGAGCCATAGATTCTATGCTGGCTGCACATGGATTGGCTTAGTTCGGCAGCGCTACTTGAGTAATGCTAAGTCCTACCGCTGGGTGATGCTACGCTATGTCATTATCATCATCATAGTTACCATTTTGCTTTGTTCATTCTGCAGTCGTGGACTTGCACATCTCATCTCAGTGAACCGTGTTTTCGAACTACACTGGCTCGGACGTCGTGGCCCCATCTGTTCTTCTGCCGCCGCAAAGTTTCGCTAAGCAGCGCTGAAAGTTGTTGACCATAATGCTAGAAAAGAAGGCAGCGATTTTTAAGCTAATAAAAAGTGATTACGCAAGCGGAGGCGTAATCTGAAGCAAGGAGCTATTGACGACTTTTTTAAGCCCACTAAGACATAATAAAGGCAAGTTCTTCTATCTGCTGATGTTTCGGACTGCTCTATTAAGTCACAGATGGTTCAAGAAAATGACTATTATTCTGACATTTTTTCGGTCCCTGCGAAGTCTGAGAAATCAGTCGGAGACTGTACAGATCAAAACTGTTGACAAATGAATCCGTGTTTGCTCACACCACGTGTGGGCACTGCACGTACATAGGAATCGTATTAATGTCGAGTGATCTTTGTGCCTTGTGGTTAAGCACGTGACAACAGCAAGCGTTCGCCGGATTTCCTTCAGGCTGTAAAAACTACTGTTCATGGCAGACTAAGCCAAGACCTGCACGCTGCTTGCAAACAAGTCTGCGCTCGCTCACATTATGTCTGGGTGGGCACTGCGCGTGCGCAGGAACCAGATCCGCAACGGGAAAGTCTGTGCATGCGCCGTGTCGATGGCAGAGCAGCCTCAGCTGCACGTTGGTGTATAGAGGACTGTACTTTCTCCCTTGGCAATACCTGGAACTCTGAAGTGTTCCAGCACCTCTTGTCCGTGAAGTTAGCAAATTTTAAGGAGGCAGCTCTAAGCATGCCAAAGGATGTATCGTTTGACCAGATTCATTCAGATGTGGGCAGACACTTCTTTTACATACAGATGGGCCAGGAAGCAGGGCACAATGCGATCAAAAAAATTAAGCGGCTCTCTTCTTGCTTGTTTTCTCCCAAATTCGTCCGAATTAAGTGCTTCTTCAGAACAAAAAATGCTGCATGTGTCTTACATTTTTGTAAAGTGCACCGATTTAGGGATGTTTGATGATGCTAGCAATTTTTAATTGAGACCATACCTTTAAACTTGCTGATTAAGAAGTTGGGTACTCAAAAGTAATTAGAAACCTAGCTATACCGAACATCATTATTTTCCTAAATAGGCACCCTTTGGCAGAGATCAATGCGACACTTTTCTGTGTGAAGCCTACTCTTCGCAGGAGTGGTTTGGCCCAGATTTTGTGAAACCCTGTATATTTAGGGTATTTTGCTTTTGGGTTTTATAATTTACAAAAATTGGGGGGTCAAAATTTGGTGCTATTTTCCACACCCATAATTGGGTAAAAATTGAATTTTTCTGGAAACCAATCCGAAATTCGGTTCCCATTTCATAAGAGGGAGATAAACAAAAAAGTGTTCTACTCAAACAAACGTCAACAAAGTCTATGATATAGGAAAGATCCTCGAGCGCACAGGATCTTTTCACCTTCTGATCCATTCTGAACCGAATCTATGCTGAGGTTATGCAAATCCAAGCTCTTGACCAGGGCTATCCAAACTGTGGCTCGCGAGCCGCATGCGGCTCTTTGCGGTTCCAAGTGTGGCTCGCGGCTCCCTGATAAGTGATCTCCCCTTCCCCTTTAGCGCCCCCAAGACAAAAAAAGTTATAGAATTTAAGAAGGCTGTCTTGGCAGCCCTGTACTACACTACGTACATACAGCTAGACTGGTTTCTGACATATAGATGTGTCCAGTGACCCTGTTTCCTTCATTGTTCTAGAAATAATTTCGAACCGTATACGCATTACAGGCGTCGAGAGCACTGGCTGGCTAGCGAAGCACGCATTCATTTTCGCTTAGCGATTGAAGAAACATTCTGCTGCCTGGCATCATTTGTTGTAGTTGATAATTACACTTGTCCCCTTTGGGAAGCACTGTTCCCTCCATATTGTTTCTTGTTAAAAGTAGCCCACCCCTCTCCCCCTCAGTCGTTTTTCTTTTTCCTGCGGCTCTCTGAACTTTCATAGTTTCGTCAGCAGCCCTAATTCTCGATGTCACTCTGGACCCCTGCTCTCGACAATCGGGCGAGTGATCGAGGAAGGAAACACATTTGAAGCAGATCCAAAATTGTTTCTATTTTCCATAAATTCAGCTGATTTCCAAGCTAGTTTTTATAGAGATATCAGGTTTAACCCAATCTTTACAAAACCAGATGGGGGCGGTGGGGGGCAAAAATCGGGTAGTATCGGGTTTTACCCAAAAACGAAGAACCCTATGTATATCGTTATGGAGATGCAATCAACCGAGTTGTGTGGACAGCATTTGCACCAACTCCTTTGCAAAAACGAGACAAGAAAAACCAACACAGATTGTAGATCAGAAAAGATACTTTTTTTTTCCTTCTTTCTCGTAACATATAGTATTCAGTCATCCGGCTACTTTATGTACATTTAGAGGGGGCGCGATATGTAATATGTACACCAGCTAGATCGCACTGGCTTTGGCCCTTGGTTTAGTTTACGCTCTGTCCGCAGTCTTCTTTCGCTAGGCTACGACCGAGGGCACAGCTAACGCGGAAGGAAAGGAAACAATGGCACTGGTTAATCCCCGCCCCCCAAAATAATGCCGCCGCATCGGTGGCAAACGCGGATAGACTCCTGTAATGCTGAGAGACGGCCAGACCGAAAAATATATATACCCTCAATCATTCTGAGCTTGGCTCTGGACCAACCACAAAAGGGTGGTGGGAGTCTTAAAAAGATTCACTGCTCGTAAAAGAAAAAAAAAAAGCTTCGCATATGCTATGTACACTGCTAGCTTTCACGAAAACACATCCACACGCAGCGGTCACACTGCGCGGCTATACACGTTTAACGGCGTCGTGCCATGGCGCAACTCTAGTTCTATGAAAGCGGGCACCTTTCCGACAAAGGAAAGTGATGCCTGCACGAACTCCCACCCCTCTCGTCAAACTTTCTCTCTTCCATTTGTCCACAATGTTTCCGGCGTCCGATTAGCGCGCTAGATACTCTCTCGTCGACGCAGCTATGAAAAGCGGCGAAGAGACACGCAGAACACCCTTCTTCCTCGCTGGCCAGGCACAAACCATTTTTGGGGCAACGAATAAAACAAAGTCCCTTCGCCACGAACGAAGCTGCAACCTCGAAGACAGCCTCTTCCCCACGCAATAAAGACCCTCTGTCACACCCCAACTTATCACCAGCAAGGCCCTGTCAACTCCTACCAAACCCCGGCAAGGCTTCGGCAAAACACTCCCAACAATTGCGCATAAAAAAACACAAAAAACACAGGCTCTTCCGACGGCGTCCGTTTAGCGACGCCCGTAAGTTATTTTTGGCCCTCTTTTCCGCAATGCTTCACTTAGCTCCGCGGTGCTCTGGCAGTTCCGGCGAAAACCCCTGCACCCCGCACATTTTCTTTTTTTTTATAGGTGCGCCAGCGGCACTTTGTTTTTGCCATGCGTTGGTGGTAGACGCCGGCGCGAACCTTTCGTCTATCCATCGAACAACGCGAGCCAAAGCGTTGCAGAGAAGTGCTCATGGGTCCGCCTCGGCAGGTGCTTCCTCTTCCACGTCCTGCTTTTCGTCCGCGCACTCGTCCTCTCGTAATTCTTCCGACTCGTTCTCCTCGTGCACGGTCAGCGGGGCGCTGTCTGACGACGCTCTGCTCGTCCTCTCGGGACGCTCCATCCCTGCAGAAATGGAAAGTAACGGTTCTTACATGGGGTCCGCAAACCTTTCAGGGTCCCCAAAGCCTTCTAAATCCTTGAAGCCCTCGACCACCAATCAAACCAAGCAATAAAACATTTTTTTAAAAATTGATGCTGGCTGGTTTAGAAAGATAAATGGACCAAACCATATGCGCCGAGTGAGTCGGATCGATTATTCTATGTTTCTAAGCTTCGAAGTTGGTTTGCATACATTTCATTTTCATTTACCTTTTTGTTATTGTCATGGTCCCCTAACCCCTGCCCCAACCCCCTCCACCCTGGCGGATGGGGTCCCCCATCACTTCTACTGATCCAGAAGGGGTCCTAAAACATCAGCGTCTGCAAATCAATGTCTAACAGCAACTATACCGGTGAGACAACAGACAATGGCAGACGTTAGCTAAGCTGGCCTCAACATCCGACCACCCACAAATAAATTCCTGCCAGGTAATTCTATGTCCCCCAACGAAAAAAAAAAAAAAAAAAAGATTAAGCTTAAATTTATATATTTAACCGAGCCTTGACTATGCGTACTACCTAACACAAGCTAACTAAAACCTAAACTAGACTGACCAAGCAAACCTGCTTTGAATATGCTAAGCCTAACAACCCCATCTCCATGTGACATTACTGAGCCCCAAATTTACCTACACCAACCTAAGTCCTATTTAATCTAAGCTAATCTAAGCCATCCTGTCTACAGAGGCAACGTAACAAGGTATGAGAGCAGGCACACCCCATCATCTTAATTTATGTCTGCCACAGTCATTCCATGATCTTGATAAAAGATTAAATGGTTACTCTAAACCTGAAAAACAAAAATACAGAAGCATAATAACTTATAAAGCAAAACACAAATCAGTAAAAAAAGCAGTTAGTGTATTACAACACCAGAATCCTATCCAGTGGCGACACTAGGCCGGTCCGCCCCCTCCTAGTGACGGCACTCATCGTATTATTATCACTTTGATGAAAACACCAAAGCTACCGAGTCAGGTTATGCAAGGACGTTGAAAAACCAAGTCAGTAAAAACTATGGCTGGGTGATTGATAGATTAACCTAAAAATTAATCAATTAATGCATAGTTTGTTTGACCGGTTAAGTGGTGAAACTCTGAGGAATGAAATGAAAGTAAAAACCAAACGCTTTCACCATGCAGATGTGGACAAGAACACCTGTGCGAAGGGCAAACTTTAGTTTAAAGTTTAGCCTAAAACGACCGAAGACTCGTGACTCCGGACAAGAGCAGAAGGTTACACGTGTCCCGGCCACTTCAATGCCCTGCGAGTGTTTGTTCAGAGAATATAGTGAACAATCGAAGGAGGTCGCTCTTGCCAGAGAATATCAACGAACCTCTTTTGCCTCATGCAGCTGAAGTAATAATCTGTAAGTGTGAGTGTCTTTGAATTGTTCTCAAATACACTTCGAAGTTGATTCATAATCGAAATTGTATATTGCATCATCTATCACATAGTCAGCAAAGGCCAAAAAATAACAACACTGCAACAGACTTTTTTAAAAATATTATGCATGTAAATAAACGACAGATTAATTGATTAATGCTCGAATAAAGGGTAGTAACTGATCGGGTTAAATTTTTTGATCGACGTCCAGCTCTAGTAAAAAATTATGCTAGAGAAAAACTGCAATGTGACGAACCAAATGAAGCAAGGGAAAGCGTCTTTAGACGACAAAATGATTTTGTCAAGCACTCACCGAGTGGCTTGAGCACAAGGAAGGAGAGGATGTCCGAGAGGGAGATTATCCCCACCACGTGATCTTCATCGTCCACCACCACCAGGCGATGTACCTACACAAACACAGACTCAGTGTAAAGCGGCTGTCGGGATGCCAAGCAGCCTGAATGGATATCATCAACACTGATAAACAAATAAATATACATGGGAATCTCAGTAGAAAAAAGGTAGACTTTCTACGTGCAAAGAAATTTAAGTATAGGCTAAGTGAACAGACAATCCTAAAACAAGCAGCAGTTATATGATCCAAGAGTATAAATGAGAAAAACAGAATGAGCAAGACAGCATTACACTAACGGTTTTTCCTAGGCATGTGAGATCTATGTTATATTGCACCGACGGGGCACCACTGCTCCCTCAAATAAACTATAAAGTGCCAAGTTACGCCTACAATCGAGGACGAATGGGAAGACTGATGGAGGGTGGATGGGAGGGCCTCCTCGGAGAGGGTAAAAGCAGTGGCAGTGTTAACCGGTTTCTTTAGTTTACACTAGCCTTTTTTTTTTTAAAGTGCTAGCTTTATAGTGCCAACCAAACTTGGGAGCCGCATAAGCACGAAATGTGTAGGTTAATCAGTATGTAACCACCGAACGATCTTGAAAAAATAAAAATAATGGCAAATGGTGCTAGGGATTGAACCCAGGTCACAGGCGTGGAAGCCAAGTGCGCTGCTCACTGAGCTACGGACCCAGCATGCAGGAATGGGAGGAGCAGAAGCAGGTGATTGAGAAAGTGTGCAGAGCAGACAGGGGTGGAAAGGGCAAGAAAGAGAAGAGCAGAAACAGGTGGTGTACAAAGAGTGCACGGAGGAGTGGAAAGGGCAGAAAAGTGTGCTTCCCCTCTCCCAGTGACCCAGAAAATTCAGCACGAAGGCTTTGCATCTGGGTGGTGCTGAATGGAAGTGTGCGCAGAATCACGAAAAGACAATAGTGTGATGCAATATGTTTCCATACAAAACCTTGCCATAGGCATTGTCTGAACTAAGAGTTCCACCCACCCTATAAATCTATCACATTTAAACGCGTATGGCAGTATAACCAAACATGCAGCCCATCTCTTTGTATCCTACAGGTCTGTTGCAGGTTAAGAGAAGCAGTACAAGCTCTTCCCACAAAGTTCTCCATGATTGGTTGTTTCCTCCTCTTCAGTGTTCACTCTGTTAAAGTGGAAAGAGTGGAGGGAGTCTTGGGGGAGCTTGTCTTGCTTAACCTGCAACAGACTACAATAAATGGAGTTCCTGGTCTTTCTAAGCCCTGGCTCCCTGTTGTTCCTCTCGTTGGGCATGCAGCAAAACAACTTTCCCCAGCCGTTAGCTTCCCCTAAATGACGCAGGGGGTCACAAACCACAGCCCGGCTCAGAGGGCAGAGCCAAATTTGCTTGTTCAGCCGCGGGGATCGCATTACTGCTGCAGTATGAGAGTTTAAAGATTGGGGAAATTAATAATTTTGTTAAACAAATTGTTTTGTTAATGTCACAACCAGGAACGTATTACTGAAGTTGTAGGGTTACGCCACCACAATTTTTACTTTTTTACAGAGGAAGAAGGCTGGCCTTTCTCGAGGTCTGATGGAGAATCAAATTGGCAGTACTTTGTTTTAAGGGGCTCACCAGAAGAGTTGTGAAATGTTGCAAATAGTAAAGGTAGCAGCGGGAAACAGGAGTGGCAACAAGAAGTCTCATCCTTTCCTAGTAAAACTACCTAGACCTCCACCGGCTATACGTGAGTGATCTGTGTCTTAAAAGTTTTCTAGTCGCCCTTGCAATATACTAAATTTTTTACTAGTGCCAAATGCTGGACTTCTTTCAGTCTTAACAATCTGAGTTTCGTAATGAGAAAATCGGCGAAGTTTCACTCTACGGGGTCTCAAGCCGGTTTCCTAGAAGCCCAGGGGTTCCCCAGTACCCTCGCGAATTCCCCAGAGCTCTCAAATTCCCCAGGCCGTCTTCACCCCTGTGCCGAATGTCTCGATTCCAGTTTAAGCCCTATTTTGGCAGATCTGAGCAACTCACTGATGCGCAACTATGAGCCAAACACACCTTGAAGGGCAACTCCAGCTGAAAAGCAAACCAAAATAAATTACTGGTATCACTTTAGTGGCACGAAATAGGATCACAGCCAGAATATTACATCAGTGAAGCCGCATATACCTCATTTAAACCGATTTTAAAGGTGCGACCAGCTGCTCTTCAGCGGGCGGCAAGCGGGTTAGCGTTTCGTCAAGGAACACTGGTGCAGAACCCTTGTGACGTCACATTGCGGTGGAACTGCGGTCGATTGGTTGTACCACGTACCGCAGCACCTTTGTGTTGTCGCGTTGCGGCCGTACGGCTGATGATCAATGTTGCCATCTTTCTACAGGGGTGGAACTCATGAAATGTATTTGGGAGCAGCCACGGGAGCAGCTGAAACAGCTGTTTTGGAGCAGGTTGGGAGCAGCTAAAACTACGTTCTGGAGCAGGCTAGGAGCAGCTCAGATCAGTTTTCATTGCACTTCAGCTTGTGTCTTAGACACGCAAGGGAGCAATTTCAATCGTGCTTAGCAGCACAGATGAACATGGGTGGTTAGGGACCTAGGTAGATGGGATAACAATGTAACAGATGCGAAAACTTGAAACTTTGTGAGCCTTAATGAGAATCAAAAAGCAAGTATTCTATGTTTCTAAAGATAGCGTCCTTGATATTTCCTGAGTGGCTTTCAGCTGCTCAAAATGCAAACCAGCACTGCTTATCACACAACCCACACGTGCTCGACATAGTGATTATATGTGCGAACCACGTGACGTGCGTAAGAAACGGACGTGTGGTTGCACGGAAGAACAGAGCAACAAATTTCGAGTTTATCCTATTGTGCAACTCGATATCGAAGCAGCAGACTACGATTAACGAAGTTATTGTATTTGAAGCGATAAGCAGGAGTAAGGTTAATGTACGCCGAGTAGATATACCACTCGCGTAAGAGCTGCAGCTGGCCGGCAAGGTTTCGGATCGGACCGCGTTTCAGTTCTATCGAATCACGATTTATCTTGCGAAAATGCGGTTCCAACTTCTAACGATGAAGTAGGTACTGAAAGGAATAATTTGCTCATTTGTTTTCAACTAGCTGACGTCAGCGTCCCGGATCCCGGGCCGCAGAACCTCAGGCAATCTGACGCTTAACGACTCGACCTCACCTCAGCCCACTTGCTTAACTGCTTATGGTTGAAGAATAAGAATCCAGTCGCCGGTGGTGTAGCGCTTAGAATCCGAGTTTTTTCGCGCGCTTCCGACTCGGGATACACAGGGAGAATGAACAGAAGAAGGGATTGCAAAGCCGACCAGGCTAAACACGCTCATTGTTGCCAATCGAGTCAATAAAACCGAAACCAAGACAAAATAAAAAGATTTTGGCGCATGTTTTGTGATTTGGCGCATAATGGCGCGAGGTATTATTGGCTGTTGCGCAGTTTCAGCAACATGGCGCAGGATGGCGCAGACACATGCGTCTGGCGCAAAATGGCGCAAATGGCGCAGCCGTTCCACCCCTGTTCTAGCATAGTTTCAGTTTGGCCGTAGACGTCCGAAACCACAATTTGAGTCGTGATATTCATAAAACCACACACAATATAAAAAGAATACCTTGTAACTTAGGGGCACTGCTTCAACTGAGAACAGTTGTAACCCCAAATTCAAAAATATTGGCCGGAGCTGCCCTGTAATGTGAACATTATTGTTTACAAGGTCTGCAGGCTACTACACTGCTCCACTACATCAATGCCAAGGCAGGAAGGGTGTCACGGTTGCCCTTCAAAGTCGACGGGGGTGTTTAGAGCTCAAATAATTTTAGACCCCCGTTTTACTCACCGACGGAAACAAATTGAGATGTATCTTAGTTGCTTTGCACTTGCATACACCAAAAAAAGCCCCTTCAGTTCCCTGCGACACCTTATAGCCGCACCCATACCACCGAATAGTAACAACAATGACTGCATCTGTTCCATCATGTTCTGAAGTCAGACATTGCTTAGTTCTTAACATATCAAGCAATTTTTGTTGCATACGTATAACTCTAGTCGAAAGAGCCATTTTACGCTCAATGCCAAAAATCAGATGCGTTAGGTTACGGGGTTGGCAGATAGGTTTATTTTGGAATTCCATATTGGTCTCTGCCTAACTGAAGAGGCCTGTTGCTTTGGGCGTCTTTCCGCAACGTTGTATATATGGAAACCAAAGCAACCAATGTTTTGGCAAGTTGTCGGGAACAGTCTGGAAGGCTTACCTCGGCCTTGACAATCCTCTCCATAACGGCTGCTAGCGTGTCATCCAGTGTACACTTGAGCACCCCCTCGAAGTACTGCGAGGCAAAGCAGAGGAAGGTCACTCCATTAACTCGCCACATATCAACTAACACTTGGGGCCTAGAGGAAAAATAGTATTATTCTTAAGGGGTGACACCACCTTCAAGTGCCGACTTTAAACCAGTTGCTCAATATTGATGAAATCGGGAGGGTCTATTCATCTTGTTGCCTAAATGCACTCTATGAAATTTCATCTCTGTAGGACTATTTTCCGATAAGCTATAAAGGGAGGTACACAGCTATTGATGTAAGCCGCCTCACTTGCCAAGGAAATCTATCTAATAAAATTGCTGGAGAATATTGAACATTTCTAAGCTTTAGCCTTAACTAGAACATATGGTGGGGGGAGGGGAAGGGGGGGGGGGGCTATCTATTTTTTTACCCTAATGTCCCTGTTTTTTCTATGCAAAATGCAATTTGAAAAGCATTCCACCATAATGGGGCATTTTCTCCTCATCAAAACTCTACTTTTTGACAATAAGAACTTTATTTAAATAGAAAAATAAATATCTTGCCCCCTTCCCCATTAAATTTCAGTTCAGAAACATCCACAGCAAAGAGTATATTCAGCAATTCATTGAAATGATATATTTCCTAAAACGAAAGTTGCTGCAAAAAAGCGAAACTGAGAAAAACCTGCTTAAGTTTCCACATCACTACATTTGCTTTTACTGGTGGTGGTGGTGGTGGCTACTAAAAGGCACCAAGAGCAGAGATGGTGCCTTTTGCTTTCACCCAATCTCCAGCACGGCTTTGCTGAGTGAGTCCGAGCTTAAAACGCTTTCTTTGAGTGCAATTTTGTTGTCGGCATCTGGACATTGATTGCGAAACGAGTGAGGAATTGGGTATGCTTGCAATACACAAACCAACATCAGCAAGTATGGGCGGGACAAGCATCATCGAAACACAAAGCTAACAAACCCACGTGACGTTCTATAAATGAATGCTGGTTTTAGTCAGTTTTGTGTTCAATCAAGGTGGGCTTTTCGATTCTTGGCGATATGCATAGCCTCTTCTACGTGAAAGCTGGACTTCTGTGGTGTTCTCGCCCGAATAGAGTTTACTCTCGAGCAAAGATATTTAATGTACTGAAACTGAAGAAATGCTCTTTCCAGCGAGAGTATGACATTATTCTAGGGCATACTGGTGCAAAGCTACAGCAGTTTGAAAATAGGGAACACAAGTTTCACATTTCAAAAACACGTGATTTTGCATCGTTGGCTGACCGAAAATGTTTTATTTCTCCGTAAATACTTCAGATATTGCAATAAAATTGGCAGGAGTATACACTATTAGTTGTGGAACCACAATACACAAAAATAGGAAAATTCATTTTTTTTTCTCAAAAATTGCAATCTTAAGGTGGTGTTCACCCTGAAGCCCGTTTCCCACTGTGCAACCTTTCGGAAAGAGATGTGAGAAATGCTGCATGAGTGTGCCATATTCCCGAATACACAAGTGGCAGTTTTTCCCAAAATTTTTGTAGTTGCGTCTCGTACAACATCCCAAATTAGATGCATTTTTTCTATATCAGTACGGCCCTTAACTAAGCGAATTTGGCATGGGGTGAAATTTCATTTGATTTGTTGGCAAGGATGTTGAAACCGGCCCCCCATGCGCATATATTGCCATCACATTACATGTATGCAGACTTATCACTGCAGTTTCATCACACCTATCGTACAAATATATAAGTATGACTTATACAGAGGTGCAACTTATACACAATCTTTTTGATGAAAACAGCCGTCTACAGGGGGCTGCCACTTATATAACAGCGCTGCGACTTGTAGACTGGAAAATATCGGCATTCTTTGACGCTGGCACCAGCAAAGAGCGCATTGCAAATGATTCCTACAGAACAATGCTAGATGGCTCTTAATCAAACGTCTGGTCTTTCATGGGCTTGCCCATAAATTTCTTTTTCCGAAAATATTTCATTTAGGGATCAAACACACCTGCACATTAGAATCGTGTGAACCTGGCAAACAAGGCATGCATTCAGGTCGGACTTGTGGTGCCTGAACCGAAAGCCGGGCCCTCACCTGATCCCGGTGTTCTAGGGCTTTCTTGATGGTGATGTCAAGGTTGTTGTAAGTCTTCTCTGCTGCCAAGTTCTGCAAAAAAAACAGCAGACAACAATGAGAAAGTAAGAAATGACCGCATCTCCACGTGGTGAATGATGTTGATTGGGGCGAAGCTCTGGTGGTGCTGATGATACAGATTTTTTTAGCATTTGACCGCAGCGCCCTCTCGTCTATATAAACGTTGAGCCAATGAATGCAAAGTTTAACGCGATTATATACGCATTTGACCGCAGCGCCCTTTCCTGTAAAGATGTTGAGTGGCTACATGCAACGTCTCATCCATGACATCCCCAGCTCTTGAGTTACTACCACATCTCAGAGCCCCCAACTCGTCCCGCAGTCGCGGCCAAGTGGTTAAGGCGATGGACTAGAAATCCATTGGGGTCTCCCCGCACAGGTTTGAATCCTGTTGACTGCGCAAACATTTTTTCTTTTTTTAAGAAGACAGATGGGATGGCAATCGACAAGGCTAGACCCAAAGGAGCTTCGCCCCTAAAAAAAAATGATCCCCAACCAACTCGTAATTTACCAAAGCCAAGTGCCAATCATTTTTCAGTTTCCATGCTTCCTAGGCTGCAGTTTACGACAGGCACCAGCAATTCGACTACCGTTACACTCACTCCACTTTGTCGGTGACCAGAAAGCAGGAAAAAAATTTGGCTGCATATTTGCTCATTCTGCCAAACACATTCAAATGCAATAGCTTTATAAAGTGGGTAGGCCCAGGGCAGGATGACTCAGTCTTTCAGTGCCTGGGGTGGATGGTGCCTATAGTAGGGCTTTGCGCTTCAATTTTTCGGTCACCTTAATACGAGAAGCACACTTTCGTGCCCTCTCTCCTCCTCATTCCGTGCGCTCTTTCTGCACCACTTGTTTTGCTTCTCTCTTTCTTGCCCTTTCCACCCCTCTCCAATCTGCATGTATTCTCGCACCATCTGGTTCTGCTCCTCCTGTTCCTGTGTGCTGGGTCCGTAGCTCAGTCAGCAGCGCACTCGGGTTCCACGTCGGTTACTGGGGTTCAAGCCCTGGCACCAGTTGCGTTTTGTTTTTTTTCATTATGGATCGACTGACCTACACATTTCGTGCAGACGCGGCTCCTGAGGTTGGTTGGCCCTAAAAAAGCTACCGCTTCAAAAGGGACAGATCTAACATGCATTGCCTTAAAGTCCGACCTACAGAATCGTCTTCTACCGGGGAAAAAACCGGTTCCCAGTTTCCTTCTCTCCATTCCTCTCGCCCACTTTTCCCCTCCTCTCCACACAGGAGCAGATCTCTGAACTATTCCCGGTAGAGAAAAAGAGTCTCCCTCTTTCTCAAATGGAACGGAGGAATTGAAGGAGAGTTTCCTTCTCTCTGCTTGTTGGTCGGCCTTTAAGATCAAGTTCGAGACCCACTGCACACGGTAAAAATGATGACAATACAGTAACACATTATCATAGTTTACAAGAACAAAAAAAAAAAAAAAAAAGGAAATCACAATACTTTTTTTTTATAAAATTATGACCCCAGTTATTACAACTCCCAGCTGAAATTGTTGGCCCCACCCAAAGCTTAGGACAGGCACGCTAAGGTCAGACATGAATGAATGAATAAATTTATCACATCAGGATGGCTCTCTGGCCGATTTGGGAAAGGGGAAGAACGGTGGGGGCAGTCTGCAGTTCATGTTCTGCTGACAAGGTGGGCCTCCTTGGCAAAGTTCCACAGTGCAAGCAGCGTTGCGTTGGCGTGGTCATTGGGATATATCCATTCGTGGAGTGTCTGGGCTCCTGGTGGCTTGTGCTTGTTGCGAATGGCTGCTAGAGCCGGGCAGGACCATAGTAGATTAATGACCTTTGGCGGTTCCTGTCGGCACTGCTTACAAAGTAGCAGAGCCGAGGGGATCTGTGTGGTTTTGTGTTGCTTATAGTATTCCCATCTTGTGATGATGTCTTCAGTAAGGGCAAATCCGGAGTGGGCTTTGGTAAGGAGGACTTATGCCCCTCTGGGAATGTCCCGGGGTATGGGGCGTTGCAGTGGGGGAATGGTGTTTCGTAGTTGCTCCTTGTTTTTGTGTTTAAAAACGCTTCCTGCACTAAGTGTGAGACTGGATCCGAGACCACGCAAAGCGCTTTGCGTCAAAATACATTTGGGCCCGAGCATGTGCCAAACACCCACGCAGCACTCGTGTCCAATACACGCCCAAGGTGCATGCTCGAAATATGGCAGCCTTAGATAATTGATGCAGCAGCGATTGGAGGGACACACTTTTGAAAAGGGTATACCCGTCTATGAAGGTACAATAAAAAAAAAAAAATTTGTTTTGCAATACACCAACTTAACTCTTCTACATCGCGCCACTGCGGTGGTGCTGCTGTCGGCTCTGTGCATGGCATCTGCATGCGCAGACGCTTAGTCCCGCGGGCTGGTCCGTAAGCAGCCCGTTGGTGTATATTCTTGGGTGTCTCGAAGTCCTCGGGATTCAAATACTGTCCTACCAAACATGCAGTGGCTGGCACACGAAAAAAGGTGGACGGGTCGCTTACGATGACGTCAAACTTGGCGTAGATGTCCACCACCTTGCCTCGGTCGTCCACCACGGGCAGTGCAGAGACTCTCCGCTTGATGAACTGGTGCAGGGCCACGATGAGCGGAGTGCTGGGCTTCGTCTGCAAGACGGGAGGAGCAGAGTGCGTTAAATGACAGTTGCCACCTTTCCCCATAGTAAAAATCATTCGCCACTGACTGTATTTGCTAGCGCTATCAGAACAACTGATCAAAAAAACAAACTTTGGCAGGCTGCAAATACATCTCAAGCAAATAAACTGAAAGAAACACTCTGCCTAGGTACTCGGTCTATGCTTACCGTGGCAATGTTCTCGTAAGTGCCGATCTTGAGCTCCCGCAGAGTCAAGTCCAAGTAACCAGGGTGAGGTAGCTCGTAATACTGCACAGAAAAAAAAAAAATAGTTGTTGAAGAAATAAGCATTTTGCAGACAATACAAGATATATGTCTTAGCAAACTAATGATGTAAATTGAATTGAAGAAAACAATAAATTGAGTGTTACTGCATCGCACATTACCTGTGAATGATTTGCCACCAGCTAGCAAATGACGTACCGATGCTGAATTGAGTAAAATAGTTGAAATTTTGTCATAACATCAGGAGTGTAGGAGAAAAGAAAATAATGTGTGTTTTCACCGCCAAAATAAGCTATGCGGCACTGAACGGTCAGACTCCGCCCAAACGTAGCGCTAGAGATTGGGACCGAGTGCCAGACTTAAAGAACCTATTGTTATCTCATTAAAAATTTACAAGGGATTTCCTAAAATTTTCACTAAGAGCCAAAAAAGCCTTTAATACATTGAGATGAAAGGCGTAGCCATTTGGGCAGAGACTAAGCTTTTGGAGATGAGTCTTTCATTCTTGAAATGAGGAAAACACTGCTCTCTCTTTTTCTACCAAGCACCCGATACTTTTCCCCTGTGATTTCATCAGCAAAGTGCAGAAAAGCTAACATCTCATTTTGAAGTAATTGGAAAGCTTCACTACCCTTGAAATTACATTATTTGTTTCGACGAACCTCTCACTAAAAACCCAAGCACCAAGGAGAATGCTGGGAACGTAGGTACATGTGCTACATGCGCTTGCCTTATTTGTGTAAAAGATTTAAAGGGGCACTGACACCCCAAAGGTCGTATTTATTTTTATGTTCTAAAACGATGCAAGTTGTAGTCATAGACACGCAAAAAAAACCGGATCGCGAAAAAAAATTTTCCCGCGCGCGCGCGCGCCTTTTTATTTTTGGCGTTTGATTTTCCCGCCTCTCGCCTCCTCGCTTCTTTTGATCGGTGACGTCAAGAATCAGGAAATTTAGAAGCTTTGTAGGCGACATCTCTATAACATTTAATTACGGCAATCCTAAAACATGTTTTTTAACGCAATTGCGAACGCAGTACGGCCCTTCTTTTTGAAATACCAAAAATCGGGAGTTCGTTGTGGTGCCGTCTCCTGGATTTGTATCCTCCAACGGAAAACAGGCGACACCGCTCAAAACCGGTCCGCCGGCGTTCGCTTGCGCTCGCTCCTTTCCTCCTCGCTTTGGGTCGCCATGGCAACATGGGCAACAGCAGGGAGTGGTGAAAGGAAGTGGACTCTCAGGTCTCCTCAATTTTTGACGTCAAGGCACCGGCGCCGATCGCGCGGGAACTTCGAATTCGGCATTTGGAAATTGTTTTTTTACTTCACGAATACTGAATTCCCAAATCTCAAATTTTGAGGGTAATGTCCCGGCATCGTTTTCAATCGTTTCGGATAATAAAAAAAAATATGATTTTGATGTGTCAGTGCCCCTTTAACTAAACAATCAAAAATAGGCTTTGACAAATGCATGTGTGAAGTGCCACTTGTTTTAAGATTTTCACTTTAGAACAGTTACTGCTGAAGATGCCAGCATGTGCAGCACATGTAATTACACTTGCAGCACGCTTCTTGGTGGGTGGGTAATTTGGCTAAAAGTCTGTTATATGGTGGGTGAGTAATTTGGCAAAAGGTATGCGCCCATCAAGTAATGATGCAATGAAAATTTGTTTATGCTCACATAAAGGAAAAGGAAGCGCAGGATCCGCTTGTGGGTGAGCACGTACAGGACGTTGCCTGTCTGGGGGTCGATGACCGGCAGACGGTGAACCTTGTTGTGGATCAATGTTGTGATGGCGTCACAGAGGCTGCATGTACGGAAGAACAGGTGGCTAACATTAAAAGGAGCTGTCAACCTTTTCAAAACACTGCGTGCATATTACCGAAAGAAATTCGTTTTCAATCATTCGCAAAGGAAAAACCCAAGAAGCTGGGACTGAGCACGAAAAACACCCTAGCACAGGGCACAGTTTGCAAAGACGTAAAAGCGACAACAAAACAATAATACATCTCTGTCGGATGGGCACCTAAAATGCCATATATGCCAAACATTTGGTGTAAATGCCATTCAGTGTCACACAGCAATCCATACGGCATTTGAGATAAGTAGATGCCCCTTAGCCCAAATTCCATTTGAGTTGCCGTGTGGCCCAGACCAACTGGCATTTACTTACACTGAATGTTATTTGGCATAAATGGCATTTAAGGTGCCCATCTGAAAGAGGTATCGGGCAGCAATTTTAGTAATTGACCATCGCATAGTGGGACGCAAGGTAACTACGCATTTTTTGTGGCAAAAACCAGAAACATAAATTTAAAAATAAAATCCAGCTTTTTTTTTTTCTTTTTTACATAGCTTTTGAAAACTTGCAGACTTCATTGTCATAGCCTAGTACGGCTCACCAATTTGGCACAAGCAGTACATCACCAGTCGCTCAGCTTGTCTCAGTGACAATCAGTTCATCCGCAGATATACGGGTTCGCGCGCGTGGGCAAATAGTGACGTGATGGCAATGGCCAAACTCTCGGTGTCCAGACCTTTAGCGGTTCTAACACAAGTAAACCTCTGTCAAAAAGGTCCATACACCTGCTCTCCCACATAGCAGCCAGAGGATTAATTATTGCACTCTACAAAAGCAGCCTAGCGAATGACCAAATCAAAAGGAAAACTCACATGCTCAAACTTCAACCCACACTTAGGATTTGAACATACAATGTTTCATGCTCAATGCTACAGTCCAGGCCAACAAATGTTCTGTGGCCTGTCATTAGCTAGGCCATTCCTAGAGCTGTAATGGCTGGCTCTTTATGGGCTCCGTAGAAAAACAGGTGCATTAACCTTTTTCACAATGTTGTTCCCCTACCATCTGTGTAGCATGGTAAACTGCATCACATGATAAGACCAACAAATTTTGAGGAATGCTAATTTTGAGGAACAGGTACTCAAGTAAAGCTTGGAACAAACTGGGTTGCAAGCTATTTCTAATAGCCTAATTACTAAAAAAAAATGGACGCATCTCCACGCGGTGAATGATGTTGATTGGGGCGAAGCTCTGGTGGTGCTGATGGGGCTGATTATTTTTATTGCTCATAGGTAGTGCTGAGTTCCGGGTTGCGTTTCGACTTCATTATTACTGCTTTATGGTTGGTGAAATGCAGAGCCAGTTGTTCTTCTAGTGGATCAGCTTGGATCCGCTAGAAGCCGTGGGAACGCATCTCCACCGCTTAAGTCAACAGTCCATGTCAGAGAGAGAATGTGTGGTATGGATCGTGGTTATATACGCAGTTGAGCATTTGACCGCAGCGCCCTCTCGTCTATAAACATTCGGCCAATGCATGCAAAGTTTAACGCGATTATAAACGCATTTGACCGCAGCACCCTCTCCTGTATAGACGTTGAGCGGCTACATGTAACGTTGGAGTGTAGTGTAGTGGTTAAGACGTCTACCTCGTAAGCAAGCGATCCTGAGTTCAAACTCCCGTGCGGGCGTACATTTTCTTTTTTAAGGTGGGCCGATCTCGGAAGCAGTGCAATCAATGTGACCACAGACGCTGGACAAGGCTAGACCCTGAGGAGCTTTGTCCCTAAAAGTGTGACTCGGACAAAATCGAAGAAATGAGTGTTGACATAATTTGTTATAAATGAGAAAGAACAATTTGGAAAAAGAACTGACAGTGCATTTGCCATGATATGAATTCCTAGTTATTACCAGAGAAGGAAGATATTTTGAATTTTCAACTTTGGAAGACTCAACCAGCAGGTATGGTAAGGGACCAGTCATACGGCTGTGCATCATTATCAAGGCGTCAAACTGTTCATGAGCACAGAAAATAAAGAAATGAATGAATGATTGACCCAGCTTAGAAACAGCACACTAGTAAAGCTGTCAATGCTAGTCTGTGTATGTCACTTCTCAGTACATTCTGAAATAGTTTCAAACATACAAGCAATTCCCCAATTGTTGAGGAGTGACAAGAAGTGAGGACAAGATCTAACACCTTAGACATCACACCACATTAAGTCTCACTGCCTCGCTCATATCATGAGCCTTTAGCTACTGGGTTGCAAGCATAAAATACTAGACCATTTGCAAAAATGTTAAAAGTGGTGTATGCTCAATGCACTCCTTCAGGATTTGTTTTCTCCACCCATTGGATCCTGGAACATCTAGGCAGATTACTAATTTTCAGCACTTTCCCTTGTAATCAAATCTGTGCTCTGCATTTTGCACAATAGTCTATCGGGTGAGCTTGAGTGATCAAAGACAAAGAGAAACCTACCTTGCATCGGGTCCAATGTGAACCAACGGCCTCGCTGTGTCATTGAGCACGTCTGCATGAAAGAAAAAAAAGGTAGACAAGTGTTAGTCGAGTTCAAAGAAGGGGCAATTCACGTCTCCAGCTCTTTGCTCGCCCTCCTGCAGTGAAAACGGAAAGTGCTCTAGTGATGGTCCCCCGATTCTCCTGCTTAGCGGGCACAGCGGAACTGCTCATGATCATGGCTAGCGAAATGTCATTTCCGAATGCAAACAACACTCTTCACTGTCCCAACGTAGTGCTGCAGCCGGTATAGGGTTATACCTTATTAGAGAGTTTCAGTATTGCATGTAGAAGCAAATGCAAGTGCTCTGCGTTTGCATTAGAGTTGTGCGCTCCACGTTGCGCATGCTTGCTATCGCCATGCGCAAATCCAAGACTGCAATTTTGGGCTCCGCGCACGCACAGTGTGGAACACGCAAAGCTAATGCAAACACACAGCGGTTGCGTTTGTTCATATACGCGATACTAAAACTCACTACTGTTTCACTGGCTTCAAAAGCCAACGCAACGTGCTGCTGTGAGCAGACGTGCAGACAGGTAGGCGTTCCTTTGAACTGGAAAAGCTGAGATTGCCAAAACGATGGTGTGTAAAAATGAAAGTAGCTTAATGCTATGAAAAAATTTACAATTAAAAAAATCTTTTTTTTTTTTTTTAAAAAGGGGGTGGGGGGCAATTTGGTCTGGAAGGATATTGGCGGCGAATTTGGAAGTTTTGCCTGAGGATTTGGTCTAGAAGGACATTGGCGGCGACTTTGGAAGTTTTGCCAAAAGTCAAAAGTCACGACTTTGATAGCAACATATGCTTTACCCAGAATTAATGTAATTTTACATGGATTTCTCACGTTAGCTTGAATGTTTTGATTTCAGACCATTTATAACTTGGTAATTAATTATGCTGCAATTGGCACCAGTGATGATAATTAGCCCACTTTTGATTGCCATACTTGTTTGAACGTTTGAAATTAGATTACAAGCGACACATTATATTAGAGCTTGAAAAGTTGAATATTAAACTATCTTAATTTTAATATTATTATTAATACAAATCGCAGCAATATATACCCCCAATTAATGCCACAATCACAAAAATATGCCATTTAACCATAATAATCTTTTCAGAAAGCCATCATTTTGTTTTGTTTTTAACAAATGAAAAACACTGACATTGTTATCGAGATAGACAAACAGTCAAACACTGGATGCAATGTAATGCCCTATGCGTCACGCATTGCTTTACAAAACACACATACTTCAGCTGTCCGACTCCAATTCCGTCTTTGGGTTTTTGTAGTGAGTGAACATAATGTAACAATTTGATTTATTCTGTTATTCTTGTGCTGGGAATAATGTTAAAGGAGCTGGGCAACAATTTCAAGGCTTTGCTTAAATTATTGTGGAAGTTGATGCCTGACACTTCTGAAGTGAACTACAGAAAACAGATTTTGACTGGATACCCTATTTTTTATTTACAAAAATGAAAAAGATCCAGGTTTTTGCCGCCTCTCAACACATACATCGTCTTCCGGGTCACGTGCACAGCGACGTTGAGGGGGTAGGCGCGGGGTTCCGGAAAAGTTCTCTCTTTAGAGCCATCAGTGAGCAGCGAGCACTCATCCGCTCGCGACCGCGTGACCACGTGCTGGCGGGTGCGGGCGAACAGTATGGTGAAAGGAGGAAAGTCTCATACGGGTCCGGCCATAGCCCGTCCGACCCTGTCCCCCTCCTCGTTTGGCGTCTGGCGGCTGTTCGCGGTAGCAGAGAGAGCTGACGGTTTTGTGAACCTAGGATAGATGGCGCCACTAAAACTCCGTATAATGAAAGTTTTGTCGATGATACCAGGTTTTTGACGCATTTATATATATGTTCGAACGACAAGATTTATAGAAAAGTTACCTTTTATCGAGCAGGTATTCGCACAACTTGCTATCTTTCTAGAAGATTCCCCTTTGACGTCACGCCGCGTGTTTCTCATGGCCGCCGCTCGCGGCTGCAGGTCGGGGAATATTCTAAGTTTTGCCTCGCTATTACGCGGCGGAATCGCAACATTTCAATGAAAGGAAATGTTGTTTTCTCTCATTTGTGAGAAGGTGAACAATATCAAAAGCAGAAGATGCCAATTCTTTCAATGTTAAAATCGTTGCACAGCTCCTTTAAAGCTCATTATTTCACGTAACAACTATCTGAGCGAGAAAAGGCATTGAGAACACACAAATATCAGCACTGATTTTTTCAACAAATACAATATTCTATGTTTCCTTTAAGGTGTATGAAAGACCCCCATTTTAAAGAGACACTGAAATCTCCAAAATATTTTAAGTGCCTGGATCGAACATGTAAGTCGCAAAATAAAGTTTCCGCAAACAACTTCTTTAACTAAATAATTACAATGTGCGACACATCTGGAGTGTTGTGAAAGAATGTGAAATTAAGACCTATGCCGAGAAATTATATTCAAAATAGGTTAGCTTCGGTTTCAGTCCAGAATTAAAATGTGCGTCCCGACATAAATACGGTCTAAGCTCGTTATAACAGACCTTGATTTTTACCAAGTTTTCGGCCTGTTGTAAAAAGAGTATGGTGTATGCAGATATGAAATAGAGTTAATGGTGCATAGAGGGAAACCAACTGAACTTCACAAATTGGGATGTTATATCCAAATGTCTGTTGTAACCAGGTTTCTTTATAATGAGCTTAGACTGTATTACGCTAAACAGTGTTTTTGTTTTGCAGAATAAAGAGGTGACCTGCGCTCATAACACCCTAGCTTCCTCGTATTACCAGAAATAATTTGTACCACTCAGTGAAGCCAGCACACTGACAGGCTTAGCAACGCCTCTCCGACTTTCACTATAACCGCCATTTTGGAAAACTAACGGTGCCATCTATATAGTGAATGTGAGTCGCGAATAGTACAAGTTTGCTCCAGCATCACTCACTTCGCCAGTCCTTGATCTTCTGCTCTTCCAACTCATCCATTCGCACCTACAAACAACGACGGTAAAAACTGTGAATCGAAACACTGGGCTACGATGCGAATTAGACAAAATAATTCACCGTACAAATCAAATCGAAGAGCGCTAGTGTGTAACAGGCAAGCAAACAGTTGGCTCAAAAGTGGCTCAGCAAACCATTTCGACCGCCATTCCATGACCAAAAAAAGTCTAACCACTTTGTGCGCAAGCATGCTTTCATTAGAATATGTTTTTTTTTTTTGTTGCGTGGGAGAACATTTGTTTAATACAATTGGGTTCAACTATATTTGTAGCAATTAGGAACACGCAAGTGATGCATACGTCTGTAGGCAAACCAGTTCATCCGTGGTACTGATGGGGGGCTAGATAATCGTCTTTTTAATTTTATAACTCAAAAAGCAGTTCAGTGGTTGCCGAGATGATACCACCAAGCTGAACTTCCTTTGCCTGCATCCAAACTTCCTTTTTGCAGTGATTTGGATTGCAACAGAGCTTGTCATATGCTACATTGGTACTAATAAGATAGAGGCCTCACAGCTACAACCCAGCAGCCAAGCAGTGTCGAAACTCTACAGCTTGTCATATGCTACATTGAACCAGGGGCGAATCCAGAACTCTGTTTTGGGGGGGGGAGGAGTAGGGGCAGAAAATTTGTAAGGATATTATTCTCCCATTCTTTCTTGTGCACCGGCGGGTCCACCCATGTCAAATCGCCCTCCAAGAAAGGGGGAGGGGGGAGTCGACTTCGCTTGGGGGGGGGGAAGGGGGCCGCCCCCGTCGCCCCCCGCCCCCCCGCCCCTTGGATTTGCCCCTGCATTGAACTAACAAAATGATTTCCACTGTCCTGTTAGTGACGGAGATATAGTGAAGATCCCCGATGCTAGTGCAAGGATTGCTACGAAGCGACGTTCCAATGGCTGCCACATCCAAGAAGCTTTGCAAGCGCTCACTCACCAGTGGTGATTTGTAGTAATTTCTCAGGATGTATATGAAGTCTGTGATGGTCAGCATTCCTGCACAGACACGAAGACAATATATGAAATGTTGCATTCATGCCACTTACACAAGCATAATTTCCAGACGAAACTAAGCAATGATAAGAAGCAAAAGTATGCAGGTGAGCTGGTTAGGAAACATAATTTAAAGCCCGAGACTAGTCTCAGGTCCTAGTTTCAGGATTTAGATTATAAGAAATGAAAGTGCAAAAATTCTCAGAGCTGAAGACGGCAAAATTCCGGTCTCTACAACTAGCACTCTCTTTTCCAAATAGTAGTACTGGCCAAGGAACAAAGTCCAACAAAAGACTAGCTGTACTGTCTTGGTAATTAAAAAAAGAAAAAAAAAGAAAAAAAAAAAAGGATTTTTGGGGAGTTGGCAGATGTTGCATTTTCTGCGACTACTGCATCATCGTCATTTGCAAAGTTATCCGTTTTAATATCACTGAGTATACCTTATATTAGTTTCCTTTCATTCATCTGTTGTTACAAACTGACGGAGAAGCAGTAAATATACCCACGTGAAAATTAGCCAACTTGCAGCTGAATTATAGAACTGCTCTTAGCTGGATCCAGTTGGATTGTCTCATTTCAAGCTGCATCCTGCTGGGACCAGTTCCATAATCCAGCTGCAGATGGACCACTTTTTTACAAGGGTAAAACGAGAAATGACCTGTCAGCTGTAAAACCCAACCAGGCATCACCACGAGACCTGCATGTAGTGCTCTCCTCGCGCTAAGTGGCCTGTTCTCTTTGTGGGCCACGCTGCTTTGCTGATCTCTGTACAGTGTACCCAAAACAAGAAGAGATAACTTGAACTGAGGAGCGGCGAACTACAGGCCCGAAGGTTGGCCTCGGTCACTGCTTTCCAATTCCCGTGGCGTCGGTGCAAGGGAGGGCTCACCGATGAACTCCTGCTTGGCGCTGTCCCAGAGCGGTGCTGCCCTCACTCCATTGCTGACGAGGGCAAAGAAGGCCTTCTTCACCTGCACAGGGAACAAACGCTTCGTCGTCACTCGTTGCACCGCACTCTGGGGCGGTTCATAGGTGAATTTTAGTATTTCCCGGTGACTAAAATAGCTGCAAGAGGGGTTTTTTAGTCAGATGACCGGCTCCAGGGAGATAAGGTAATTATAAAAAAAAACTCAACATCAACTATTTTCTGTTACATTGTCAAGGCTAGCGTAGCTTTCACAATGCCGTAGCTCAGCACTGCTGTGTCTCATTCGCGTGCACCCTCATGCGAAGGTTGGTTGGCGAGATTTTAATGGCATATCAGCCATTGATGGGAAGAACTTTAAGTAAGTACTACTTTAAGTAGGGTTAGAAAACTTGTACTTTACTTGAAGTACATTTTTGTGAGTATGTACTTGTACTTTACTCAAAGTATTTTTCTCATATTTTTTTTTTTTTGGCAAAGTACAACTCCCAACTTCAAAGTGCATTCCCCAAATTCCGTGAAACCTTTTGCCATAGCACCGGGGTATAAAGCGGCTCCCCCCCTATAAACACAATGCTAGGCAAAGGGCACGAAAAAGTGCCTTTTGGGCAGGCTGAGATTACTCCATTGTTTTCGGCAACCACTGCCAAATCTTTTTTTCTATTGGGTGCAGATTTATGTCTTGTCACCGAATCGTAGAGAATCTCCAAGCTGCTGGGTGCCTGCAGGAGGTAGCTCCCATAGCTCCCACAGGAGTCGTATATTTTGTCTTGTGCTCGGTGAAATTAAGCTCCTTCAAGGACCACGCGCTCGTGTCCTTGGCTTTCCCAGTACTATACTACCCAACTTCTGAGGTCGAGTATAAGAGTTCACCAGCCTCCAAAAAAAAAATAATGTATCGTCGTCATGTGAAAACGTGCTATTGTCTTTCGAGACATCATCTGGTCATTTCTCTGAGTGAAGTAATTGCGGCTGTAAGATCGATACAATTAAGGGTATTATAAGCTGATTGTGTTAAATGGTTTGTCAGCATGAGTAAAACAACTACTCTGTGGCCATTCGACTTTATCCAATATTCGCCACCATTTCCAAAAATAACTGATGCACCCTAGATTACTCCTAAGGCAATGCATACCAGTTAAAGAAAAAACAACATTGTATAGGAAAATGAAACGGCATCATGAAAGACCTAAAAATTACTTGTACTTTAGTGTGCCAGTACACCATATTTATAGTACTTTGCTTCAAGTACAATGCACCCGGTGTACTTACTTTACTTGAAGCACATAATCTCTCATCCCCTTTGTACTTTACTTTTTTAAATGTAATTTATCCAACTCTGGTATCAGCAGCAAATGCTATAATATGCCGAACTAAATTTGTTAGGCCAAAAGACTAGATTCATTCGAAAGCAAATGAAGATAAGTCAATACTATGTTATAACTGGAGTAAACAGCCACTTTCGACAACTTTAGTAAACAGCCAGCTGTTTTAAAAAGGTTCAGTATGCAGGTAGTAAACGCTATTAGAGGGTAATTGCCAAGTAAAAACACAGGATGAAATGGAAGATGATCTCTAAAAGGTTCAGGGAAACACGACTGATGTGTGTAGTGATAAAAACGACAGTGCCATAAGGTGTGCATAACTGTTAACATGTCTCTACAATGGGTACACTGCTTCACATCCCCTCCACAAAGCAGGTGCGAATGTGTCAGACGGGTATGACCAATTCTCAAGTGACAAAGCATAACCACAAGATAACGTTCCCTATAAGATGGACTCTCCCAGATTCCCAAGGTACGCTTATCACGCAAAGGGGACATCAAACGAATCGACGTGCTCGCGCAAGTAGCTTTAACAGTGTTGGAGCACCGTGGAAGCAGTGCCAGCCTCAACTAAGCAGCACAAAATAGTCGACGCCGAAACAGGCAAATGGCTGTCGTAATTCCAACCTTGCTTCAAATATTAAAATTCGATTCCGCTTGCAGAAAACAGAGGAAGTGGCTTGAAATGTAAGTGAAACTAATTGCATCTGTGTACTTCAGGAGTGACATGTAAAGTCATTTCTGTGGAAGGTTGTGCTAGGCGAGAATGAAAGGAAACGACAGGCAAGGCCTATTTCTTTTGAGTGGAATTGGCTGGAATGCTAGGTACTTTCTGCTGTCTGAGCCTATCATGGTGCCATAAAATCCTTCTTGCAGCTATTTTAGCTGCTGAGAGAGATGGTGACATTGTTGAGACAACCGGCCCAGGATACAAAACCAGGGTTCTGTTTTCACGTTTTTCTTTCTGAGAATTGAGAACATTCTTCTGGGTTTTATTTTTCCCAAACGGATGGCGAGTTTTTGGGGGTTCATTTCCGGTGTCGGCTCTACTAACTGAGCTCAGTTGGTAGAGCACTCCGCTGATCTTGAAGAGGACTTAAGGTCCATTTCCAGACCGGGCAGATTTTTTCAACACCTCCAGTCGCCTAGAGGGCATGAGCTGCGTTCCATTTCAGGTGGAAGTCTCAATTTATTTTTGCACATGCAGTCAAATACCGATGGAGTGCACATCCCACTTTGGCTGAAAACTGTATTAATCTAGATAGGAGTGCTAGTCCGGTCAAATCGCGCGCTTAACGTATAACTTTCAGAATTCCCAAGTTTGGGACATGTTAATAGTGAAATAGTGGGTGCTTGAATGAAGTGGGCACTTTTGCCGTATTCTAAGGTACCTTTATTATAGTCAGCTACTGATTATACTCGCACGGACAACTTTTCGTGGCTGTGCAGTAAAAGCTATGGGTGCTATGGACGGCAATCAAAGTTGTGCATGCGTTCTCTGAAAAGTCACAAAAAGCTGCCCGGAAGTATACTACTACTAACTATAAAGATATTTTTACCGCATTTTACAATTAACAGAAGTATGACAGTCAACTATCAATAACCCCAAAATAGCCGACCACCGATAGTTCTATTGACAGATTTATCAGGGTCAGCCATCCATACTAATATCAATTTTAGTTTTCACTACTCATAGTTAGCTACATTTTTCAGCATCCATAGTACCGCCAATAGTTTTCCATCACTAATAACATGTTATCCATTGCCTTTATAAATTTTATAATGTTTTTCTCACAGTAGCTCTCACAGTAGGTCTCACAGTAGCTCTCACAGCTAGACGGCAAACTTATCCCTAAGCTTGAAGTTCCTGAACAGAAAGCGAAAAGTCAGCATGAGATTTTTCATTCATAGAAACCTACAATCTTGGCCTAATTGTAACAGTTTCTTGATACTTTCTATGACAGCAGTGCCTGCTTTTGGGGAGCAGTCCACAGGAAAAAAAACACGGTGAACAAACCAACACTGCCCTCATTGCACACAAAGTGCCTCTGTGCACGAGCTACAGATTTCATCACGCCGCCTTGAGCCCAAGATAAGCTTCCTGTCTTTAGATTCCATTGTCCACACGCAACCGTTTCCCAGAAAGCTCCCGCGTGCAACACATGCCCTGCGGTGCACGGCAACCCTGTCCCCTCTCTACTACCTAGTAAGGACACACGCACCAGATAAATGAAGGAAACTTTTGCAATATAGTACTGTATTTTCCAGATCATAGTCTGCAGACTATACATGTTTAAAAGTTGAAATTTTACGTGGTGTGGACTATCTACAGGCATACACTATACAAGGATTTGCTTATTGTTGATTGTTCCGTATGAGAAACATGACGAATCTTGTGAATGACAGAATATGCTACTGATGATTTCTCTATGTTACAAGCAGGCATTCTTCAAGGTATGCTATGTATAAGAATTTCTTACATATGATGTACCAGGTGCAGATATGAACCCGCTGAGGACTGCGTACCTGATGCAAACTATTTAAGGAAGAACTTTTTTTTCTTAATCGAAATTTACCTTTCCAGATTACAATACAATATAATAACTATTTTCTTATATAGGCTACAGGCCAGAAGATACAGTGCAATATTTGCAGTATTGTACTATGCTACAATTATAGTACAATAAGGGGATCTTATGAACATTTTATAATGTTGGATCAAAACAAGTTAAGCGTGTCAGTCATGTGCGCCTTCTGAGATCAATTTAGGCATGCACCAGGGTTCACATATGAATGTATGCAGCTTCTTTGTCCTCAAATAACTGCATATACAAAGAAATGGGATAAAGAGAAATTGGCACCCTACCTCCAATGGTGGAAAATAGGGGGAGGGGAGCTATGATGAAATAACTCCCCTCCCCTCTGTTTCTGCCAATGGATCATCAACAATAAACAAATTGTTGCAAATAAAAAAAATACTTAAAATGTAAATAGAAATAAGCTTCATGAAGAATGAGAAAAAACAGCAACTAAAATTGTTTGCAGACTAAAATGAAAATAGAAATGCAAGTAATTTCAGAACTGCTGTATGCACCTTCTCCACACTGCCAATATGAAAAAGACAATGAACACAAACCAAATCACAGGGTTAAAAAAAAAGTGCAGGTGGTGCAGCGACTCACCAAGAGTTCTGTGTCGAACACGACGAGTTTGGCACTGACAGGAATGAGATCGTAGCAGCGGTAATACTTGAAAAACTTTACAAACAGCTGGTTTTCATCTTCACCTGGAACAGCCACAAACCAGACACCACGGTAAGTGATGGCAGCACAGTTACACCAGGTTCCATGACATCGAACCAAATTTATGAATTTCTGCATTTGGTTACCGTTTCCTTTCTTATCATCTTGTCACATAATAAGTATATGTAAGAAAAAAAATTTCAAACAAATTGAAGTTCCATGCAGATTCATGCTTTGGCGAGGGTCTAAACTTCTTTGTGCTTAGGTGAGACAGAGACCAGATTGAAACAAATTAACCAGGAAGAAATTAAGAATACTCTACAAAAAAAAAAAAAGCACCAAAGCCAAATCAAGTATAACTCTCATCCAGTCTTCGACATATCGTATGGCAGTATGCAAGAACAAACAACTCATTCACAAACAATGCACCGTTTTCTAAAGATTAGCAGTTCAAATGCTTTAAATATCCATATGTTCAACATCAGGACACAGGCGAGCAAGCTAAATGCTTCAAGGTTCTACTGAGCTCTCAAAAATGGCACTTTTGCACCCATTGTGGGTTACCTAATCTGCCGCATTTGCACAAAAGAATGCTCCTTCCTTCTCCTCAATCAGCACAAAGAAAGAAAATTGCTTGCGACTCTGGTAACCATTAGCTATCACCAGTTGAATGTACGGCATTAGTTACTTGCTAATGGCAAGCCTCTAGTGGCTGATGAGAGCAGTTAAAGACATGCACCAAAACAGATAGTGCAAAACCTGTGGTATTAGAACAGCATGATAGGGAGGGAAAGAGAGGGGGGGGGGGGGGGGGGGGGGGGGGCACTGCTTCCTCAGACGTTTTAGACATTTCTATAGCCAATGACAGTTTAAGAATTCAGTGGATGCTCTGCCAACAATGTGAACTTATGGGCGTTCACAACTTTTCATTGAATGCACAGCCAAAGCCCGGTGGAAGGGAACCAGCGTGTGCTGGAGGAGAAGCTTCTACTTTATTCTTAGCCTGTGATTAGCTTTTGGCGACTCAAGCGAAATCAACGCCACATAACGGCAACTCGGAGAACCTCTGAGAAAAGGTTGTTTCGCCTCTTCTGCTTTCTCCGCTTGGTTCTCGGAGGCAGCATAGCTTGACGTGCTTGTCTATTAGGATAAGCTAAATAATTGCGCTTCATCGGTGCCGCATCAAAATAGATGAACAAGGATGTGAAGACATCTTAGAAGTGAGCAGTTTCTCTTATCTGCGAGATGAAAAAGAATTGCCTCACCCCCCCCAAAGCATGTTCCTGTGCGAAACTTGTAGTGAGACCCGATTGGAGTAGATTTATAAAATAATGCTTGCCTCACAAGGCAAACATTAATCAACGCCTAGAAACCACCTTTTCTGGGTGCTTTGTTTTTTTTTTTTCTATTTGTGAGATTTTTTTCTATTTGTTAGTCGTAAAGATTATTACAACACATTTAAAACATCAGCCAATTTGAATGTCACTCATAGCACACACTATCAAACTCGATTACGATGGCGTGTTGATGGGTGCAAAAGCCCATTCTGATGCCTGCCAGATACCAATTTTCACGAAGACCTAATTTTCGCTAATCACTTACCACCCGAAAAAGTTTGGTTGTGCTAACAAGTTGGGCAAAACATCAATAGTATGCAAACAATATTGAAGCATCCTTCCGCATCTGTTTAAATTCGTGTAGGTTACCTCTCAAGAATGAGCTAAAACTACAAAGAAGCGGTTTGGAGCAAATTTTCAAAATATTACAGCGAATAGCCTTTCCGAATTTAGATACAAACTTTTGGAGATAGAATGGAGCCAGGTCTATGAAGTAGACGCAAACGAAGCTTATAAAGTGTTTTTGAACCAATTTAAGGAAATATACAAAACATGCTTTCCATATAAATCTAGTAAATTGTAGAAAAAAAAATGTTTCCGCTAGATTTAGCGGGGAAATTTTTCTGCTAGATTTAGCAGAGAAATATTTTGGCTAGATTTAGCGGTGAAATTTTTCCGCTAGATTTAGCGGGGAATTTTTCCGCTACATTTAGCGGGGAAATTTTTCCGCTAGATTTGGGGAATTTTTTTGCTAGATTTAGCGGGGAAATATTTCAGTTAGATTTAGCGGAGAAATATTTCCGCTAGATTTAGTGGGGAAATTTTTCGACTAGATTTAGCAAGGAATTTTTCCGCTAGATTTGGGGAATTTTTTTGCTAGATTTAGCGGGGAAATATTTCAGTTAGATTTAGCGGAGAAATATTTCCGCTAGATTTAGTGGGGAAATTTTTCCGCTAGAAGGGAGCATTTTTTCTTATCTGCGAGATGAAAAAGAATTGCATCACCCAAAGCATGTTCCCGTGCGAAATTTTTCCGCTAGATTTAGCGGGGTAATTTTTCCACTAGATTTAGCGGGGAAATTTTTCCACTAGATTTAGCAAGGAATTTTTCCGCTAGATTTAGCGGGGAAATTTTTCCGCTAGATTTAGCAGGGAAATTTTTCCGCTAGATTTAGCGGGGAAATTTTTCTGCTAGATTTAGCGGGGAAATTTTTCCGCTAGATTTAGCGGGGAATTTTTCCGCTAGATTTAGCCGGGAATTTTGCCGCTAGATGTAGCGGGGAAATTTTTCCGCCAGATTCAGCAGGGAAATTTTTCCGCTAGATTTAGCGGGGAAATATTTCCGCTACGTTTAGCGGGGAATTTTTCCACTACATTTAGCGGAGAAATTTTTCCCACTAGATTTAGTGGGGAAACTTTTCTGCAAGATTAAGCGGGAAAATTTTTCCGCTAAATGTAGCCGGGAAATTCTTCCGCTAGATTTAGCGGAGAAATATTTCTGCTAGATTTAGCGATGAAATTTTTCTGCTAGATTTAGCGGGGAATTTTTCCACTAGATTTAGCGGGGAAATTTTTCCGCTAGATTTAGCGGGGAAATTTTTCCACTAGGTTTAGCGGGGAATTTTTCCGCTAGATTTAGCGGGGAAATTTTTCCTCTAGATTTAGCGGGGAAATTTTTTCTCTAGATTTAGCGGGGAAGTTTTTTCTCTAGATTTAGCGGGGAAATTTTTCCGCTAGATTTAACGGGAACTTTTTCCGCTAGATTTAGCAGGGAAATTTTTCCGCTAGATTTAGCGGGGTAAATTTTTCCGCTAGATTTAGGGGGGAAATTTTTCCGCTAGATTAAGCGGGGAAATTTTTTCCGCTAAATGTAGCGGGGGAATTTTTCCGCTAGATTTAGCGGGGAAATTTTTCCGCTAAATGTAGCGGCGAAATTTTTCTGCTAGATTTAGTGGGGAAAGTTTTTCCGCTAGATTTAGCGGCGAAAGTTTTCTTCTAGATTAAGCGGGGGAATTTTTCCACTAAATTTAGCAGGGAAATGTTTTTCCGCTAGATTTGGCGGGGACATTTTCCCGCTAGATTTAGCGGGGGTATTTTTCTGCTAAATTTAGTGGGCAAATTTTTCCGCAAGATTTAGCGGGGAAATTTGCCCATAATGCACCGCGAGGTTACGCCGACGGCGACGCCGCTGAAGCCGGAAACGGGCGCCCAAGAGCTGCGCTCTAAAAAGCACTTATATTTAACACAGATTCCACACTGCAATGCAAAACACCTAGGCATTTCACACACTGAAAGATGAAATCGACCCCCCTTTCGTCCGCCATTTTGCCCACCCAGCGTGCCCCCCATAGTTAGATGGAGTCACAAAAAATGAACATTCAGGGGAAGGAGTCGGAAATGCACCCTCCCCCTCCGCCTCCCCCATCTCCCGAACGCTTCTGAAACCACTGCATGAAGCCTGTGCATTCCAGAGATTAGCACAATGCGACACACAAACTAGATAGAAGTGCTGTGTCAGCATTCATTTCAAACTTGTGTCCAATCAATCAGTTTGCACACACTCGGCCCACAAGCCCAATGACAGATTTTATCAAGTGTGTTACTCATACCAATGTTTATACAAACCAGTAAGTCCTTTATCACTTTCTAAACTCAAATAAATAAACAACTGAAGGGCCAAGAACAGATTCCCATTTGCCAGCGCTGTGAAAGAGCGTATGTGCCTGATGAACACTACATATTACTGCAGTTGGAATAATATTTGCATTACTAGGTGCATAGAGTTATTATAATGTATGCTAGAGGTTCAACCGGCGCTAGTGTCTATGTGACTTCCGTGTCGCAAATTGAAGCGGACAGCAACCAGTCTACTTTTGCGGTGCTCCTGTGCATTCCTATGGGAAAACGCGCATGCATTTGGTCTCATCGCCAGAAAATAACACGGATCACTCTGGTTATTTGGGTCAAACCGAATAGTATGTACCTTGATTAACATTGTACAAGTGTAATTGCTTTAGTTAGCACATTTTTCTTCATCAGTGAATAATGTTTAACTTCGCTACATTTCAGTCTCAAATATGTGTTCCGCAGCAGGTGTGTAAAAGCAAGTGACGATCTAAAGCAAAATTACAATTGAAAGGAATAAAAAGTGTTCAAGGTTCGCCAGCATTCCGCGACGCTTATATATTGCTAATATGCCAGTCATCTCACTATATGAAAATGATCCTGTCGTGCATGAGCGAATAAAAACATTCAAAACGTAAACAATAAAGAATGTGGGCTGTGAAAGGTGTCTCCTCGTATTGTTTTCTCTGCCGGGCACCTTTAAGCATGCATGCAGACACTTGTTCTATAAGATTTCAAGCGTGCGGGTGATATTTTGAACGTAGAACAAACATCTTCGCGCAGAGCAGAAAGAATAAAGCGGTACTAACTTATTTAAAATCAGAATATATTACGTGGCCTTCGATTTATTTTGATTGTACATGCACTGGTAGTTACTGATCCAGCGTTATTGCATGGTTCTTGCCGTCTCTCTTGGCTTTCCAGATGTCCTTCGTTGGTTGGGCACATATATTTCTCATGCTGAAAAGTGCCGACGTCGCTTTCCCGCTAACAGTGTCCAACAGTGCAAGTAAATACACGTACAAAGCCGTTTTAGCACCGTTTTTAATGCGACAAAGTTTAATAAAGCTTGGACTTGGGTTTGGGCTAGCTGGTTGTACATTGATAGACGTGCTGCGCTGTGAAGTTCTACAGAGCAAACGCGTGATTAAAATTGAAAGGAAAAGGATGAGTTTACATTGAGATGGGGGGAACACTGCGCCCATTCGAGTTCATTGCGTTTCTCCTCATCTCAATGTAAACTCATCCTTTTCCTTTCAATTTTGGTCACGAGATTGTTCTGTAGAACTTCGCAGCGCAGCACGTCTATCAAGCGACGAAGTTGAAAGAAAAACACCGTAATTGACCAATTATTTCGTCGGCCTGACTGAGAAATGTTCCAAACTACCTAGTATGTATGAAATATTTGGGATATTTGCTTTTATGATCGAGCGCAGGGAGAAAATGCACTCACTTTTTTGCATAGAAATGCATTACCGGAAATCAATTTTTGAATGGTTGCTGTCTACTTCAATTTGCATAGCACACTAGTGCCACTTGAACCTCTAGCATACATTATAATAACTATGACTAGATGACACCAAATTTCGGACGGCGTCTTCTTTCCCCACATGAAATCAAATTGGAAACGTTGCAGAGACTTCCAATTTAACATGGTGCCGTGTGCCAACAAACAGACCGAAAGATGGCAAGAAAAAAAAAATGGTGCAGTTGCGGCAAGCTTTCCGAGAAATGCATCCGTCCGCATTTACAGGTGGTCCTCTTTCAAAAACTCAAGTTCCGCAACAGCTCCTGGTCGGACGCCACTCCATTCTACTATTGGGAGGCGTGTCTTGTCACGGAAGAGAGATGCACAAAAAAGAGGGGGAAGGAGGCGGCCAACTCACCCAAGTCCTCGATGTCTATCTTATCACAGAGAGAGTGCGCATGTGGAAGCTGGAACGAGACAAAACAACACAGTGTCAAGTGGGCCTGCCCCACTATGCCAGAGCCAGGCGTCTAAACACTCCACAATTCTGTTCTTTACGGCCATCAAAGCGTCTGCTCTGAACAAGACTCAAGATACGTCTCGTCCCTGCAGACACAGCATGTCAAGAGCCCTTGTCCATCAAAAAGACATTAAGTCGGACTACTTGGTATGCGATTATGAAAAGGCAAAAGAAACACTTAAATAGACAAAGGACATAAGGCACAAAGTTACCGCACACGGCGCTGCCCTGTTCTCTGTTCATTATGTCCTCTGTCTACATTAGCACTGTTCTGCTTTTTTTATACCCTTTTCTATCCCAGGCTGTCTTCAAACTAATCTAAGCGTTACTCAATATATCCAGGCCCACGTCCGAGTTTATGAAGCTAGAAATGTGGGTCATTAGACATGGCCACCATCTCAATCCCTGGGATGAAAAAGATGAGTAAAGTGATGAATGCATAACTCAAAGATATAGCAAATAGTTCATAATATTTTTTATACTTTATGGCTAAAATAAGTGTGCTAGCACCTTTTTCAACAGGAAACGAAAGCTGCCTCAATAATACCTTGTTCCAACATTCACGTACAATTCAGAAAAAGTCTTGACACTGCCTCACTCGCTTCATATATGGCAGAAGACATTCAAGGACTGAGTAGTCTCAGCTACCAGATAATTTTTAAACAAAGCATGTACATTGAACAATGCATTCCCTCCTCCAGAATCAACGTTCCCCAAATAGGTTTTAAGTTGTACCACATTTTACACTCTGTCAGTGTTCAGTGTTTAGAGTGAAGACGAATAGGGTTACAGTTTCTTTGTGTGTAGTTCTAATGAAATTTGTACGTTAATTTTTGTAATCTATCCTTTTATGGCAAATTCAGCATTTATAGAAATTTGCTTTGTTAAGTTACGAATTATTAGATATTTGTTGTTTACCTATATTTAATTTTGTTAGACCCCCAATTGAAGGAACTACTGAATAAAAATGAATAATATCAGCACATAAATGTATCAAAATATACATGAGGACATATAAAGAGGGAGCTATACTTAAAAGAAATATGCAACATTTGGCTTTATAAGAACGCTAGTGCCCACTCCTTGCTAGTATGGTCCAGAAACTGGAACAGTGCTTGCACGATCACACGCTCCGATTGGTTGGAATCTGTCGTGACCCAGAAATATAGCAACACTGACCCAACCTCCTCAACGGACGTTGCCAACAAATCCTCCCTTTTCTATCAATCAAACAGAGTGCAAACGTTTCCAGCGGACAAACAGAATTTCAAGTGTTCAACTATTCAAGTGCTCTGCACTGCTGGCACATTAATTTACACATGAAGAAAGCTACCAAGAGCCTCTAAATGCTCCCAAAGCACTGCATTCTGCTGCATTTCTTGAGGTCAACAAGAAGCTTATCTGATTGACTGTCTTTCGTTGCACAAGCTTTCCCCCAGACAATGAAAATTAAGTAGTCACATGCAGTGACCAAACCGACTTCAAACTTGTTTGCCTCGACAGACTACGTGCCGAGCCTTCCGTAATTCGCTGGCTACTTCCTGTAAATAAATTTATGCAAGGGATCATTCACCTTGCCTAGATGCCTGCATGGCCATGGCATTGCCATGCTATTTGCATGTCTCATGGTGGTAGGAGAGTTTCGCCAGCTAAGATCATAAAGTATCACATTTACTTTTTTTTAACCAGGGGAATAAGCAGCACCTGCTTGTCTCTTTCTACCTCAGGTGGCTAGATGACCTACAAGACAGTTTGTTGGGGTATTAAAGACTACATTTAAGCCTGGTCTTTAATTATTAGGCAGTCAAGCGCCTATCGCCTGATCAGGGACAAAGGGGCGGGTCCTTGTTCGCACGGCCGCTCCCGTGGGAACCCGAAATTCACCCATACAAAAACTGACAAACAAAAAAGAGAAAAAGAAAGCCCGACAAAGAAGGAACAGGGTTCACACTCCAGCTAGAGGCGTAATGAAACCCCGCCGTACGTACGCGTGCGCACTTATCTCCCCTCAAAACAGCACACCCAATAATTACCCAGACCACAACGAAGGTCCCTACACAGCAACGAACAAAAAACGCCACCCTTTCTTGGAGTTTTTGTTTGTAAAAATTTTGTCGCCCTTTTTTTTTTTTTTTTTTTTTTTAAACTGCAGTTGCGAGTGACGCGTTTTAGGACGAGCCAAAATACAAATACGCACGCACTAAACAGCCATGGACTGCAGGAGGTATCAATGTGGTTGAGGAGCAGACGGAATCAATAGAAACAAAACGTGACCCAGTGGCAAGACAAGCGGGATCAGCAACAGCGGAACCGCGACGACCTAGAAGGCAGACGAGCGAACCCAACTAAAAACCGGAAAAGAGCAGACACGGCGATAAAACGAGAGGGTTCCGCATTAGGAACAGTAGGCAGGCGGGCACGGGCGGCGAGCAAGCATCCGACGCGAGGTCAGGCAAGGCGGCCGCCGCCGCGGGTGTCGAAAGGGTGTTGGTGGTTGCCCGCTCACCAGAGCCACCCGCTTGGCCGTCTGGGTCAGCCTGGAGGGCAGCGTGTGGCTCCGCAGACGTCTCATCTTGGAGAAGAGGCCGCCGTCGCCGCCGGCCCCCCGGGGCAGGGAGCGCGACGACGGCGCCTTGGAAAGCTTCTTCAGGGCGCGGCCGGCGCTGGCACCACCTCAGACCCCCGAAAACCCCAAGGGGCAAGAAGACGCGGGTGGACACGGCACCCACACGGCCAACGGCGCGTCGTCGCTCGCGCGCCGCAGCGGCTGATCGACCTGGGATGGCACACGCTTCGCGTTGCGCTCGCTGGTTTGGGACGGGCAGCGGGTACGGTCCGTTCACTGGGTCGGGACCTGTCGCCGGCCTGAGAGGTGGTAGGGTGACGGTATCCGTCAGTACCAACAGCTGATGGTTCGTTTGGCGGGCCTCGGAACGGGCGGCCAAAGACCACGGGATCCACGGCACGAACCCAACGCGGAGCAGGCGACGAAGGGGCTGGAGGAGCAGCGCCACCTCGGGGGCCGTGGGAGAGTCACCGGTCGATCGCGATTTCGATAGCCGACTTTGGCCCCCTTTGCTTCCGTTTGCCTCCCCCCCGCTCTCTCCGCCGGTTGGTTTTCTTGTTGTCGGCTTCATTCGGCGACGAAGGCCCCAGTGGCGCTTTCAAATCGGTAGTAAAAGCTCTCTTTACGGGCTAGACTGCGCTTGTAATTCTCAGCCGCGCCAGCCGCCATCCACGATTTTTATTTTCTTTGTCTGCGTCGAAAAAGTCGTCTGCTACTACTGGAGCAGACGACTGCCGTCTTCCCTGCTTCCTGAGGAGAGATTAGTGATGTTGGTTCTGTGCTTTTCTTTCCGTCACAGGGATGCCCATCACGAAACAAGAAAACACAATAAGGAACACCGTCTGCAATAAACACAAGTGGAAAAAAAAAAAAAAAAGCCCGAAAAATCGATTTTGCGGGATTCCATTTTTAGGCATCGCCTGGCTCACACGCGCTGTCCAGATGACAACCAAGGTTACCAATGACAACCGTTTGCCACACCATTTGTTAGGCGGCGTTCGCACAACGGAAGAATGCCGCCGTCCCGCTCGCGTATGAGACAACGTCCAGAAATACATAAAAGCGTAGCTGTTCCTCGTTGAACACATGACGTAAGCGCCTACGTGACTGCTCCGCCTCGGTTTAAACTTCGTCCGCCAAGGACGGGACGCGGGATCGGGAAAAGAAAAGCGCGCCTGTATATATTTTTGTTGTTTTCTTTTTGGTATCTCGGCTTAATGTGTCTTTCTCAGTTTCTTGTTTGTTTTGTTTCTTGTTCCTCGTTGGGATCTCTCTGACGACAGGGAGGGATGCCGGTTTCAAAAGCCTCTTGCATCGGGTTGCCGGCGCGACCGTTTAATGCACGACATAGAGCTGCTTAGCAGACAATGTGTGACTAAATGGGCTCGCTGTTATTGTGAAATTATTGTCGCTAGCATCAATCACAAAGATATGACAAGGATAACAAAGGCGTACAGTAAACTGCCATGTCGCTGTTTCCGTGTAGCACTCGCGGAAATAATTAAGACAAAGAAAATCGCCGCACACACACACATGATGTCTTTTTTATTTCTTTTTTTTTATTTTTTTTTATTTTTTTGGTATTTAAGTTCGGCGCCCAACAGAACTTGCATCAGCGTAGAAAAAAAAAAACAATACCTTTTTTTTTTTTTTTTTACATTTACAAGATTAGGCGGTGATCTAGCATCTTCCGAAATTTGGGTTAGCTGGAAGTATGGGCGCGCTGCCGGTGATTGTAGTACATACAATGCCATGTTCATTATATACGTATACATAATATCAACTCCTAATTAAAAAAAAACGAAAAAAAAAAAAAAACCACCTTTAGCCTTTTCACTTTTGTAAAGAAGGAAGACCAACGGAGCCAAGCGGAGCTGTACTCGATACACTGTGTGCTTCTTCGTCGTCGTCTGTTTTTCGCGCTGTTTCCTGCGATGAATTCCCACCAACGCGCCCAACTATCCATTCTTCTATTATAGCTGCAGTGTTGGGTAAAGTACATCTAAAAGGTACTTCAAGTAAAGCACAAGGTAAGTTGGACGTGATGTAGTTCAAGTAAAGTAGTAAGTACACTGGGTGCAATATACTTGAAGTAAGGTACTACTATAAATACAATGTACTTTAAAATAAAGTACAAGTATTTTAACACAATCGGTCATTATGCCCTTTATTTCTGCTATACACTGATTTTTTAACTGGTATGCATTGCCCAGGGGTAATCAGGGCTGCATAACATATTTTCAAAAACAGCGGCGAATATTTGATGATGTAGCCACACAGTAGTCATTTTCAGGAATTGAGACAAATTCCTGAAAATCACTATATAGTGATTTTCTTGCACTGGATTGTTGTGCCCAAGGGGGTTAAATGTACTAGGAGAG